CCGCGCCTGCCGCCGCCTTAGACCACTAGGCCATGCCCGTCCCCACCTCCGTGCGCGCTCTAAGACACCGTGAACAGTAGAGATCGGGCTATAACTCCGAATTGTGGTTATTTAGGGTCTGATACACCCCTGGTCCAATTTTGGGACAGATCGGATGGCGGGAAATATGGCGAAATGCCGGAGGGGTGCTTTTTGGGACAGCCTGTATATTTCGTAAACCATGTTTACCCGCATGAGACGGATTTACAAAGACATTTCGATACTATTATATGACGCAGCGAGGTAAAAAGGACACGGTGAGGAAAATTATACCTAACCCAGCCTTTTTTCATTGCTAAATTTAATTTTCGGCTATTTTCATCAGATGTCGCTGGTATCTACGTTAATTCGAAAGTCTGGATCCACGAATGGAAGTAGCAACCCGGAATTATCTGGTTATTATTATTTATTATTAGGAAGGAAGGAACCACCTACCCAATCCAATCAACGTCGCGATATAGCGAAGGCCTGAAAAAGAATTGGCAATTTGGTCGATCGAGAAGTGCCGGGTAGTTGTTGAGGTTCCACCATTTGACCTGCAAATAAGTGAACCCGGAGGAGGCAATCCAGTGCCGTTTATGGGTAAAAAAACTTAAAGAAAAAGACGACCCGCGTCGGCGCGTGTTAGCTTTTGCCCTTACAAGGAGATGGGGAGGGTGACAAAAGCGCCAAAGCAAAAGCGCCCAATGCCAGAAAGCGCCCAACGACAAAAGCGCCAACGTATGGACAGAGGGAAAGAATTACACAAAATGGTTTTTTTTCAAGCTTTGTATGCCTTTTAAACGTTTTTTAGCGATAGGTAGGCTTGGTAGACAGCAAATTATCACCCCGAGCGGGTTGTTTTGGCTTTATTGGGGCTTTTTGGCTTGAATTGCCGTGTTTCAGTAAAAAACTGTAGTTTCACCGGGTTTGCCTCAATTTTCTCACGATTTCTGATGTTTTCAGTCACAATACTGTTGCAAGCACGAAATACTTGTCATAAAACAGTGTTTGGAGGCCAGAACGACGAGAAAACGCCTTATTTCCGGGTAATGGATCCGAAAATGGCTCTTAACAACCTTTCCACGACGTTTCTCACATTAGAAATGCATATTCGGACCGGTTCCAGCATGTAGCAATCAAGAAACTACGTCAAAAATAGTGGAAAAGCTGCTTTAGAAGAGAAGTAGCTATTAGAGTGAAAGAATGCCCTAGGGGGCCAAAATAACTTGACCTAGCCGGTAATTTATGGCCTAGTAGGTCGAACTGCCGCCAAACTACCATAATAACACCAGAAAACCTATTAAAACAACTATTTTATCTCTACGTTATGTAATTCTTTCCTCTGTCCATACGTTAGCTTTCCCCATAGAGCGCTTTTGTCATTGGGCGCTTTTGTCGTTGTGCGCTTTTTGTCGTTGGGCGCTTTCTGGCATTGGGCGCTTTTGCTTTGGCGCTTCTGCATGCGCGCTTTTGTCGTTGGCGCTTTTGTCGTTGGCGCTTTTGCTTTGGCGCTTTTGCCATCCTCTCAGGAGATGGTCTCAGCTCGTACTCATACTCTTTTTCTAAGAGCAATGCAAAAAAGAATCTCAGGAACGCGTGTCTCAACGCGACCTGACCTGCATGGCAGTTTACCAGCGAAAAATTTTCAAAGTCGACGGATTCAACGCGCAGGCCCTCGGTGAGCCTGTTCATGAGGGGAAATTGCGGTCCGCCAGCACACTCGGCTATCAGCTGAAACAGCTGGTGACTGTGGAAATCGTCCATGATCTCTCGTCCATTCGAAATTCTTGAAGCTGTTGGCCTGGAAAGGTATTGCGATCAAACATCATGAATTGAAAATAAGGGGCTAATGCTACCGGAAAGGCGGGTTTTACCTGACATCTTGAACCGGACAGATATGACATGTTCGACAGACTCGACACCATGAATTGGCATGACAGCGAGCACAAATTCCTGGTTGAGGCCGTCCGTCCCGTTCCGGATCATTGTCGCAGCTTCAAACAATTCAGTACCAGCTCGCAAATGAGTTATTCCACCGATTTTCTGTGTTTTTCTTTTCAGTTAATTCTTGGAAACCCGAGATCAATGCATTATCAATGTCAAAATCTCGACAAATGGTTTGGATTTCGATAATTCCCGAAACTAGTAAAACGGCAAATTTATTAATTGGATGAAAGCTACGCTTTATTTGTCGAAATAAAACTTTTTCGTGTCTGCGGCTTATAAAGCGGATAACTTGACAGATCCTTATAAAGGAGGAGGTAGAGGTGGTTCCTTATAAAGGACAGAGTCTGACGATCATTCCATGGCATAATTTACATCATGAAAAGTAATTAGAAAAATATCGGCTTTTGTTATCGCCGCTGCCGGATCAGGGCTTTGCGAACGGGACAGTTTGCCGTAAACAGGCCATGTCGGCAGAGGGTTAATAGAAGAATTTTTGCTAAAATGTAGCTATATTTCGAGGGGAGAAATCATCTAACAAGGGAACCACCTAAGGTCAAGGTGGCGTTTCGTTATGGGACCCAGCTTATTTTGTGCAGAATTTTTTGCTGATTTCGAATCCTCTTTTTTTTTTTTGCTAAATAGTCCAATTTAAAAGTTATAGCGTTTCAAAGTTCCATTTTTCCCAAGTTTTCGAACTTCAAAGTCATTTATCTTGCCTTTTCCGTCTGATTCCTCAAAAACGAATATCGCCATCGTATTCAGAAAAATTTTCTCTATCGAATGAACTATTTAACTCAAAATCGTTGAAAATTGAAAAAATCGACGATACTTGGTATGGACTTCGTTTTTTGTATGGGAAATGGTGAAAAATTGCCTATTTCACACCCCCGTAAGTGATCGTCGATAGGTCGTAGCGCACTAATGAAATAAACCAATCGAATCAGAAAAAATTCTCTACAAGATAGGCCATTTAAAATCGACTGCCCTATTAAAATAAAAAAGTTGGGCGTCGAGACAGATGACTTCCCGCGGGCCCAGATATGACCTTAAAATCGCTATAACTTTTTAAATTGGGCTATTTAGCAAAAATTGAAAGCGGGTTCGGAATCAGCAAAAAATTCTACACAAAATAGGCTGGGTCCCATAACGAAACGCCACCTTGACCTTAGGTGGTTCCCTTGTAAGTATCGTAGGACCTTTCCTACCTGTTGACAAATGAGCATATCAACTTTCCAAGCAGCAGGCGATTGTAGAAACGTATCTCGATGTTGATCCAGTCGCATCTTTTAGAGAAGTATCGTTGCTCAAAGATGGTTATCTCGCATCCAAAATCGGTATCCTTTTCCTATTAAAGCAACTAAATCTTCACAACAGAGTCACCCACCTGATCCCAATGCCACAAATTGGCATGGACGAAACGACCACCTAGTAGAAATGTACGGGCCGGCAACGTCGAGAAATGCTGCATAAGTTTAATTCAAATTCTCACGAAAATAATTGGCGAGACAAAGAACAACGGAAATCACCTACTTTACAGGCTGTTCGCAAATCGACCTTTTCGAGCACGAGAAGATGAGAGTGGACCATGTCTTGGAGATATCGGGTCAGCTTCGCGTAGGGGAACTGCGTCACCGGGTTCGCCATTTGTAGGTAGTCACAAGAATTAGCTGGAAGGCTAAAATAGTGGTTCTTAGGTCTTAACGGGGGGGGGGGGGTCGCAAATTGTTCCAATGGATCCAAAAATGCCTAGTAACCAGGGTTGGTCACGCTGGATCCTAATCGGATCCGGTCCGGTCCGGGGGTCGGTCCGGTCCGTGGCGGACCAGGGGTTTTGATTTGCTAGGAGAAACGGAAATGCAACATGCAAATTCCGATTGCAAAAGAGTGGCGTACGAAAAAATGACGCAATGTGGATCGCTTAATCAAAAATATATAAAATTATTTATTTCCCATTACTTTTTGGCTATATACGCGACGGATAGTAGCATAGATGTGGAAAAATATGTCAAATTCTTGGAGAGTAGTATTTTGCATACAAAATTTTCCATATCTGGCTCCTGAATCATGTGCTTTTGTGTTCAGCCCGGACCGGACCGGTCCGGTCCGGTCCGGTCCGAAATTCTCGGATCCACTCGGACCGATCCGGACCGGACCGGACCGCGGACCGTCCGCGGACCGGATCCTTTGTGACCAACCCTGCTAGTAACGTGATAATACACGTTTTAAAAGTGTATTTGGGAAAATCTAATCATATTTCAGGTCGCAAAAATTAACGAAAGGACTCAGAAAATGCGGCAATTTTTGGGCGGAAAAACCATTTTTTTAAGCGCAAATATATAAAGTATTTACTCTTAAGAATGGTAGAATTTTTTCCAAAAAATCCTCTATTTATATGCGAAAAATTGTATCCTAAGGAAAAAGTAAAGTTGCTAAACCCCCAATCTCCGGCAATGCGAAAACACCAAAATGGGAATAGCACAAAGTAGGTATTCGCCTGAAGTGATGCAATTACTCTTGACCCACATTCCGAATTAGGTTATCAAAACCACGGGTGCATTACCCGAGCATCATCGCCTGAGGGCTCATTTTCGAAACATCCATCTGCCGGTCCAAAACCGCATTCAAATTCAAATGGCGGGGCAGGGCGCAGCGAGGGGAAAACGCAAAAATTCCGACAGTCAGAATCCGCAGGTTTAAAAACCATTATCGGTGAAACCACCGAAATATTATATTGGCTGTATTATGGCTGTAGGGGACCGTTACTAGGCATTTTTGGATTCATTGGAACAATCCTCCCCCCGATAAGACCTAAGAACCACTATTTTAGCCGTCCAGCTAATTCTTGTGACTACCTACAAATGGCGAACGCGGTGACGCAGTTCCCCTACGCGAAGCTGACCCGATATCTCCAAGACATGGTCCTCTTAAATAGAGTTCTGCACTTTTTGCACTTTCTACACCTTCAATTTTGCTTATTTGCATGCAGAAATTACCACGAATTGATGCGCTGAAAATTACGCGCATTCGCCGAGATGAAGCGCCAGCAGCAGAGCGTCGATGTGCAGAAGGTACGGTAGCCGCGGGCACTGGATAAAATTCACGGGCTTGCAGTTGGCCACGACGGCTGTTGACAAGTTTGTGAAGGGCGGAAAGTCGGAGACGATCGGCCAGCTGAAGATTACGGTATCAGGGGCATTTTTGAGGATGGTTTGCAGCCGATTAGCAGAGACCATTGAGGAATTAGGCAGGCTGGCAGAGATCATTGAGGAAATGAGGCACGCTAGCAGAGACCATTGAGGAATCGAGGGCAGGCTAGCAGAGGTCATTGAGGAAACTAGAGGGCAGTCTAGCATGGATCATTGACAAAACGTGAGGGCAAGCTAGCAGAGATCATTGAGTAAACGAGAAGGCAGGCTAGCAGAGATGATTGAGGAATCGAGTGGGCAGGCTAGCATGGATCATTTACCTTTATAGATCGACTTCAAGGAGGACATGCAAGTGCGAGTGAACAGCACCGTCGTCGGTATGGAGACGGCCGTGAAGCTTGTTGGTTGAGAGTTTCAGCAAGCTTTTTCCGGGCTTTATCCAGCCCAAGACCACAACTTCTTTAGAGCGGCAACTGCCCGAACTTCACGGCCCAGGCGGCGGCGATGAACAACCGCCGGCTGGCCACGGAGGCCCTCGTCCGCTACCGTAACCAACAGCAGGTACTGTCCTCTTTGAGTACACCCACTACACGACTTTCCAGTTAACGGCCGTCCGGGAGCAGCTCGCCACCGCCGTCCACAAGGTTAACCAGGCCGCCAAGAAGTCTCGGAAACTCTCGGCCTCCGGCTCCTCATCAGCCTCCTCGCGTCGTCGTTGAGACGAAACGATACGCTACGATACGCTACGATAGGATATGATAAATTCGCTTACGATACGTTACGATACTGTAAAATATGCAACGACGCGATGTGCTACGATACGATACGCTACGATACGCTACGTTACGATACCGCAAACGGGCTTACCATACGTTGCGTTGCTATGTGCAACGCACGATACGATACTCTACGCAAGGATACGATAAACACGCTTACGATACGTTACGATGCAATACGCATAGGCTACGCTGCACACCGCGACGTTACGATACGATACGTTATGTTACGAAACGCTTCGATACGATAACTTACGACGTGCTACGAAACAATACGGTGCGCTACGATATGATACGATGCGCAAAAATAGTAAAAGTTCTTTATTATTCTGTGAACCTTGTATACAGTAATCGTGTTTTTTGTGCAATCGAGCTGGAATCATTAGGAGGTTCGCAAGAGAAGTTGTTGGAACGATCGTCGGGGTATCAAACTGGAATGAGTTAATTCTCTCTCTCTCTCTCTCTCTCTCTCTCTCTCTCTCTCTAATCTCTCCCTCTCTCCCCCTCTCTCACTTTTTGGCGGCCAGCAGGCATCGAATCCGGGGCGGTAGAACGACCAGCCGCTCGTCCGTCAAAACGCCGTCCACAGCCCGTTCAGCAACGTACTCTGGCGTCAAAATGTCGCCCTTCATTCTTGAAGAAACCCTAAAATATTGCTATTAAAGCATGAATGATTAAAGGGCTCCAAAATTGAAATGTCGATTTCCGCAAAGAATCCCTGCTGGCTTGCCCCTGGGACTCTAGACTTACGGGATATCATCCAACATTCGTGTCTGCACAAAAATCGGGCACACGGTGGTGAATTGAATCCGCCGCTTCCCGAGGCCGTAGACCTAAACAAATCAGGTTGATTCAAAAAGCCTTCCGATGCTCTCTTGTCTCCCGCTCTCTCTCGCTCCAGCTCTCTCGACCTCACTCTCGCTCTCTCTGACGCTCACTCTCTCTCTCGCTCTCTCTCGCTCTCTCGCTCTCTCTCGTCTTACCTCATTTTCCAGCGCCTCCTGGAAGCCGAACGCCGCGAATTTCGAGGCCGAATATTCAACGAGGGCTGAAAAATAACAGCTTAATTTTGATCGTAGAATATTAATAAAAGTATACATTAACATGCATCCGCTTCAATCGAACTAAAAATCCAAATAAAGTTTTTTTTAAAGGACCTGATAAGGCATAGAACGACACCTACTTCTGGCACCAACGAGGGCAGCCGCGGAAGCAATGCAGACGATGTGGCCATTGTCCTTCTCCATCATGGCTGGCAGGAAGGCTTTTGCTAGCTGAGAAATTTGATGTCATGCTTTTCTCTCTCTCTCTCTCTCTCTCTCTCTCTCTCTCTCTCTCTCGCTCTCTCTCACTGGCTTACTCTTTTCCTCTTTCCTTTCACTTCTCGGTGTCAATACCAGGTGTACTCACCCACATATGAGCCATAGAATTGACCCTCATACACACTTCAATATAATCATCAGATTTCTCGAGGAAGGGCCCGCCGCGCCCGATTCCCGCATTGTTCACCAGAATCTCCACGTCGCCCATTTTTGCTTTTAGCTGAAATTTGCATGTTCTTGCCCCTCTCTAGGCCGAAACCTAAGGCTAAACCTAAACCCAAACCTAACCCTAAGCCCGAGCCGAAGCCTGAGCCTAAACCTAAACCTAACCCTAAGCCAAAGCCTAATCATAATCCTTAGAAGAAGCATAACCCTAAGCCTGCGCTGAAGCCTAAGCCTGAGGCTAAGCCTAAGCCGAATCACTCGACCAACCGTTTCCGCTGCCGCATATATTGCCTCTCGATCCGATAAGTCGACCTTCTGCACCAGCACTTGATCTCCTCCAGCGTTTTCACATTCCTTAGCTGTCGCTGCGAGACCCTTCTCATCTAAATACTAATCAGTAGATTAGAACGTTCTGATCATCTCTCTCTCTCTCTCTCTCTCTCTCTCTCTCTCTCTCTCTCTCTTCTAAAAATACCGTACCAACATCCCAGAGCACGAGCTTCGCGTTGAGTGAGGCGAATTTTAGCGCGATCAAGCGCCCAATGCCATTTCCGGCACCCGTGACCAGGATCACCTGAAAAAATCGACCTCATCGCTCACACTTCGCTACACCGAAACTATCTCTTGATTTCGCATACCTTCCCGGTCACCCGCTTCCGCTTCATCAGACTCCGCGGGCCAAAATTGGCGATAAGGGCCCGATAGATGTTCTTGTAGAATGAGGGCATCAACAGCATCGATAGACCCGTCATAATGGCTGCAAATTATAGCATTAACTTGGTACGAATAACTCCAGGGCAGGCTAGCACGGATTCTTTGGGAATTGAAATCTTTGAAAATGGCTTTTGAGAGGTGTTTAGAAGGGAGCTTTTGCGATATCGGGGGGGGAGGCCAGGAAGCGAGGCTAGTAGAGATCATTGAGGAAGGAAGGACAGGCTAGCAGATATCATTGAGGAAGGCAGGACAGGCTAGCAGAGATCATTGAGGAAGCGAGGGCAGGCTAGCAGAGATTATTGAGGAAAAAGGGGCCGGCTAGCAGAGACTCTTGAGGAAATGATGGGCAGACTAGCAGATATCATTGAGGAAGCGAGGGCAGGCTAGCAAGGATCTTTGAGGATGGCGTGCTAGCAGAGATCATCGCCAAAAAGGCAGGCTTGCAGCGATCTTTTGGGAAACATTCTTGCGCAGAAAAGGTCTATTTCGCCGTTTACAACCGGAAGCGGGCCAGATACGGAAGTGCGGGGGAGGGCAGGATTTCGTCCGAATTTTACACCTGCCCGAGTCTTTTTATAGGTATCCCCCCGGGTGGGGGGACTGTTTTTCCGCACCCCTCAAAAGTTACACACTTCTCTCGAAAATTGGGGAAAGCAAGACGAAACTCGTTAACTGTAGCATTTCGTAGCCCTCGAGAAAACCCATAGAAAAGTCACCCACCGCCTAATCGGATGAGCTAAAAAGGGTTTACGCTAAAACGGGCGGGTTTGTTGACGCTACGAATTTGGGTTGGAAAGGCGCTAATGCATGTTTTTCCGGAGTGGGATTACGTGAGGCACCTAAATACACCAAAAAAGCAAAACGCTTGGCTCCGCGGGGATCGAACCCGGGTCTTCTGGGTGCCAACTGAGAGCTTTACCAATTGGCCACAAAAAGCAGGGCGCCGATTTCGAAATTGAGGGCTGGCTAGCAGGGATTTTTGGGGATGTTCGTGTTTTTGCGGTCAGGAAGTGAGGGTATATTCAAAACGGTTAGCTTACGGTTGTTTAAAAAGCTAATTTAGGTAGTACGGAAAATTTAGTTTACGCATAAATGAATTTCTTACAAAAATAAGGTTAGATTAAAAAAAGATTAAAATTTAGATTTTTTTAGAAAAAATACGGAAAAAGTTCAATTCCCAAATAACATTTAAATCTATTAGCCCTTTTTTGGAGCATTTTTTCGATTAATAAGCTTTTTTAGATCGAAAACCGAATTTTTTACAAATTTCCAAACACAATTTGCCATTTTTTACGGAAATTTTATCGTCGCTCAGGTCAAAAGTGATGGTTGAACGGCGTGGCCCCCCATTTTGAAGGTTAAACCGGGGGAAATTGAGGCAGCGCGTAGCGCGCCGAGGGTCCGCTCTAATACTCGCGCTCCCCATGTGAGCGCTCGACTTTTCTTTCCTCCCCTTTCTTCCCTTCCTCAAAACTTTCCATCCCTCACCGCAGGAAAATTGGAAAAAGCCCGCAGAGAGTGAGAGAGAGGGAGAGAGAGAGAGAGAGAGAGAGAGAGAGAGAGAAAGCGTGAAAAAACAGGAATGAGCAAGTGGATCGGCTGGCCGACATCCATAAATATGGCTGGAACGGAGCCACTGAGGTCACTACGAACTTCCCGAACCCTTTAGAACGCTTCGAATTGATCTTTAGTTAAATTTCCGATATTATACGTAAGGCTAAGCCTAAGCCAAGCCTAGGTTAAGCTTATGCCTAAGCCCAAGCCTAAAACCTCCTGAACCTAAGTCGGCAGCAAACCCTAAGCTTAAGCCGAAGCCTAAGCCGTGCCTAAGCTAACCCTAACCCAGTCTCCACGCCTAAGCCTACGTCCAAAACAAAGCCTAAGCCTAAGCCTAAGACCAGGAAGGATTTTAAGGCCATCCAATTATCCCCAATTTATTTCAACGATAACCGACCAATCTGGGCACCCAAGGGCAGGCGAGCAAACATCCTTGAGGACCCAACAACCTCAAAATTTGCATAAACGCACGCTAGGGGAACATGACCCTGAGAATAGCCCCCCTTTCTAGCTCACCCAGCCGATTTCACTCTCTAAATCCACGGTTCTCCCCCTGGATGCCCCCAATTTGCATACAAGCGCGTGGAAGGCATGAAAATCCGCAAACCAGCAGAGATTCTTTGAGGAAACTACCAAATTTGATTTAAGGATCAGAACTTCTTTAGACCTCATTTAAAAATGGCTTATTAAACGTAGAAGGAGCACGAAATACGTTATTAAACACATCGATTTTTCAGCGACCCACCGATGACAATCCATAGCATGGAGCACGAGCAGCAGGACAGCATTTGAAAAAGCGATAAAAGGAATATGTTTAGAATATATATTTGCCGCGAGAAATTTGTCGTTTGGCGCGTGAGGGTCAGCAACAATGTCTGATGTCCTCAGTGATAAGGCGTTGGCTGACCGTCGACAGCATTTTCTCTCGGCTTTTTCTTTAAAGAAACTTTTTCCTCGTTTTCTCTCCCACTCTTTCACTCTCTCTCGCTCTCTCGCTCTCTCTCTCTCTCTCTCTCTCGCTCTCTCTCTGTTATATGTCAATTTTCATTGATGAATCAGAGAAATCCATCTTCGCTCAACTCACTGACGCCATAGACTGGGTTTTTGGACCTTCCACGATCCCCCTGGTGAGCCTAAGCCTAGGCTGAAGCCGAAATCAGGCTAAAGCCGAAGCCGAAGTCCCTGCCCAAGCCTAAGCCTTACTAGGGAAGTGCACGACCGGCCCACGAGAAATCGACACGAGACATAGTCGATCTGGTGGAATCGGATACGGGGATTCCGAATCTGTAATCAGAATTTGCTAAATAAAACGGAGAAAAAAGTTATGAAGCTTCGAAGTTGGCCAAATCGCCAAAAACCATACCTTTAAGGGCCCGTAAAAACCGGTGGTACGGAATTGAGGAGAAAAGAATTAGTGCATCTTGTTCAGCAGAAAAAGCGCTTTCGAATGAGCTCTAATACGTAGCATTTGCAAACAATTCACTGAAAAAAGCTTTTTTGGATTCACGGGCAAGGGTATGGCCTGTCAAGTTCATAGAAGAGATTTTCGCGAAATCATTGTAAACTTGAAGTAAGATAGCTCATTCGAAAGCACTTTTTCTGCTGAACAAGATGCACTAATGGGTTGTGGCAAATTTCCATTCCCTGGGCCTTTACAGGCCCATAAAAGTCCGATTTTGGGCGATTTTGCCAACTTTGAAGCTTCATAACTTTTTTCTCCGTTTTATTTAGCAAATTCTGATTACAGATTCGGAATCCCCGTGTCCGATTCTATCAGATCCACTATGTCTCATGTCGATTTCTCGTGGGCCGGTCGTGCACTTCCCTTGTTAGTCTAAGCCTAAATTTGAACGTAGGCCCAAGCCTAATCCTAAGCCAAAGTCCAGGTCTCGACCTAAGTCTAAGCCTAAGCTGAAGCCTACTAAGCTTAAGCTTACGTTAATCCAACGCTAAGCCCAAGATTAACTAGCCTTACTTTGTTCAAGCATTTAACCATTTTTCCCTCTTTCAGTAGCTTGTAGCCTACCCCAAAATGTACTCAAGCCTATCTGATTCCCCCTGATAAAGGTGTAGTTTTGCAGTGTTTGCAGCACTGCGTAGTTCCGAAAATGTGATAAGACTCGAAAACTCCATACGAATCTCGCAAAATAACACCAAAAATTGGGATTTGCGAAAAATTAGAAAACGGCAGAATACTGAATCCGGTAGGAAAATAACGGCTTAAGTGCAGTTTACCCCCCCAGCCCTAACTTTTCAGCCATACGTCCTATTAATGCGCCGAGTATTTCAAAATGTTCGCCGTGGTCGAATTACTATAAAAAAGTTGTTTTCTTACATCAAAAATTGTTAGAAAAATTTTTATAACAATTATAAGTCAGGGTTTTCTTTAGTTAATTTTTGCTGTTCCAAAGTGAGTTTTCGTATTTCGGCTATCTTTTGACGTACAGAGCTGTCATTAGTACCAAAATGTAGCTCTTGCTCTGGAGAATAAGCCTACAGTACGTTTGAGCCGAAAAAAATAGCGGAAAATAAAAATATTTGAGTTTTAGACTCCTAGTACATCGAAGCATAGCGGCTTAATCTTTTCAACTTTCAAAATCTTGTAAAAAAAATTTTTAGCAATTTTTGCCGCAAGAAAACAACTTTTTTATAGTAATTCGACCACGGCGAACATTTTGAGATACTCGGCGCATTAATAGGACGGATGGCTGAAAAGTTAGGGCTGGGGGGGTAAACTGCACTCTAACCAAAATAACTGTAAAAACACGATAAATACTTTATTGGGGGCCAGAACGGTTTTTCGGATGTGATTTGAAGTCGATCCCCGACAATTGATCACGGCTTCAGGACCAAGTCGTAGGCGCGGGGTGCGGATTTGGAGCCTTTCTGAATGATATTTTTTGCTTTGTACTTCCTAAGTCTAAGTTTAGCGTAAGCTAAGCTAAGCATAAGGCTAAGGCTACGCATAAGCAGCAAGCCGAAGCTAAGCCTAAGCCTAAGTCTGAGCTTAGTCTAGGCCAAGGCTCAGCCAAGCCTAGGCCAAAGCTTAACCACTAAGCCTAAGCCTGCGCCTGCGCCTGCGCCGAAGCCCGATTTTAAGCCTAAGCCAAGCCAAAGCCTAAACATAAGCCTGTCTTAGTCTACGCTTAAGCCTAAGCCTAAGCCGAAGCCTAAGTCTAAGTTTGTCTAAGCCAATGCCTAAGCTTACGCCTAAGCCTAAGCCCACCTGAGCTTCCGGTTCCTGATACGTGGCCAAGTCCTCCTTTCGCAGCTTGAAAATCGTGAAAGTTCCATTTGGGAAGAGACGCGATCGGCTCGACTCGGCCACCAGGATGCCGTCCTGAAAACAAATTTGTGTTAGACAGGCTAGCAGAGATCATTGAGGAAACGAGGACAGGCCAGCGGAGATCCTTGGGGAAGATCCTGAAGAATCGCCGTTAGCTTGCCCACATACCTGATCGACCCAATGTTCGCAGGCCAGTTGTCGATCAGTGGCTTCGCAGGCGAACAGCTTGTCCGTGGCGCCCTTCTTCACGTATTTGATCCCGGCCGGGAAGGTCAGGTCGACGCGGTCACCTAGCTAAAGAAAGGCCTTACAGGAGTCAGGAGGTCTTTTACTTCTAGTCTGTTAGCGGGGGGGGGGGGGGGGATTTTCAGCAGGGGAAATCCATTCTGTTTTCCAGCCCACTATTGGTAATACAAAATGTATTTTATGGTGTTTTTAATAGTTCTTGCTTCCTAGAAAGTTAAAAAACATTTTTAAAGATTTTGAAAATTCGAAAATTCTGACTTTTTTGGTGATTTTCAAAGTGTTTTGAAGATTTTTATTTTTTACAGTGTTTTATGCCTAAAAACTGTGTAAAATGCTATAAAAATGGTTTATGTTTTTTACTAGGGCCGTAGAGCATCACGGTAAAAATTTGGTCCCCCCCGCTAACAGTCCAGAACCATTAGCTTTACCTTAACCGGCATCTGAGCGACAGCTGCCAACCCGACGGCGATGAAGCTGCAAAAAACGAGCAGACGTAGCATACCGGAAACAAGCTGCTTTGACAGGGGAACTATGGAAAAAACTGTCGAAAAACTAAGGTCTGACAAGTCTAAACCAGCCAAAACCTTTTAATTCAGCTGGAATTTAAGCGAAAACGATGGAAAAACATGCCGAGCGCGCCATTTAGAAAACGATAAAACGATAATGATGAGAAAATGGGGCTGCGAGGGCAATTACAGGGCCCGCGGGGTTGCAAGGAGTCGTGAAACGTGGAGGAGGGCCACTGTTTGCACCCAAAAACACCGGAAATCAGGCGTGCAAACGGGATTAGAGCGCGTGATCGGATCATCAATGGTCTCTGCTAGGATCTCTGCTAGCCTGCCCTCCGCTTCCTCAATGATCTCTGCTAGCCTGCTTTCCGCTTCCTCAATGATCACTGCTAGCCTGCCTTCCGCTTCCTCAATGATCTCTGCTATCCTGCCCCTCCCTTTCCTCAATGGTCTCTGCTAGCCTGCCCTCCGCTTCCTCAATGATCTCTGCTAGCCTGCCCTCCATTTCCTCAATGATCTCTGCTAGCCTGCCCTCCACTTCAGAAATGATCTCTGCTAGCCTGCCCTCGATTCCTCAATAATCTCTGCTAGCCTACCCTGCGCTTCGTACATGATTTCTGCTAGCCTACCCTCCATTTCCCCAATGATCTCTGCTAGCCTGCCCTCCACTTCAGAAATGATCTCTGCTAGCCTGCCCTCCGCTGCCTCAATGATCTCTGTTAGCCCGTCCTCCACTTCCCCAATAATCGTTCCAAAAAGCATACGGTCCCTAGTAAATTTTAGAAAATGCGGAATATGATCATCGCCGCGATATGGTGTCTACAAAACCCCCAATTTTATGCCTTTTCCGATGTCTTTCTGTTCCTGATCCCAAATGATTTATGCGAGACTCGGCCGGGCCCTTCCGCTGACATCAAAGGGTCCTTGGAAATGCGGCTTAGATTTGCTGTTTTGCCTCGTCATTTCATAGAACAAGGCCGGGCGCATTAATGATCGGCAGACTCTGCTAGCAGGCCTGGAAAAATTTTTTATATTGTAACAACCGATAAAAATCCGCTTGCCTTAGAGGGCGATAAATTTATTCGACGTATTTCTAAAATAACCGAATCCTCAAAGGGTCTCTGCTAGCTTGGCGTCAAGCATTACGGTCTGCCCAGGCTACCAATGTTCCTTAAAAATCTCCGCTAGTATGCCCTTGAGGAGAAACTCAATTATTTTGAATTAATCACAGCAAAATTCCTCCAGATTCTCTGCTAGCTTGCTCTAAAAAACTTTAAAAATAAAGCTGAGAAATTCCCCAGGAATCTCTGCCAGTTTGCCAACAAAACGGTTTAATATATTTAACGACAATTCCTAAATGATCTCTGCTAGCTTGCTCCAAAATTTTTATGTGCTACAAACCGATAAATTCCTCAAGCATCTTTGCTAGCTTGCCAGCGGAAAAATGTCGCAAAATTTATTAAACTAATTTAATTTAAGTTCGAGTGAACGAGTGTCGATTTTGTTGCTTCGGAGCTGACCCTAAAATGCCACTTTTTAGCAAAATAAAAAATTGGCACCTTTCCAGAAATCGCGCTCTTCTCAGTTGGGCGGGATGACTGCCCGGTTTTCCTTGCGGGACCTCGAGGCCGAGGTTACGGTAGTATTCCTCAAAATACGGTAGAATCCTGCCGTCTTTCCCCAAGAAATTTAAGGTATGTGGTGGCCATTCGAGGGCTGGAAACGCGGAAGTGACCAGTTGACTGCAGTAGTACGCTTCTTGACCCTGAAAGATAAAGGATTACCTAGGCTTTTGGCTTACGCTTAAGGTTAGGCTTAGGCTTGGCTTAGGTTTGGGCTTAAGCGAAGCCTTAGGCTAAGGCTTCGACTTCGGCTTGGAATTAGTGTAGGCTTCAGCTTAGGCATGGGGCTTAGGCTTAGCTTTAGATTTGACTTAGCCTTGGGCTTAGGCTTAGGCTTAGTCTTAAGCTTGACCATGGGCTTGGCTAAGGCTTGGGCTTAGGCTTAGGTTTAGGATTAGTCTGACCTCGGAATTTCTGCATTTATCGGAGAATATATCATTGTACGCACAGCCGAGTCGGGAGACCAGAAATTGGGCTGCTGAATTCTAAAAAACAATGCTCAAAATTGTTTGCCAACAACAAGGTATTAAATCGAAAAATAAAAGCAAAACTACCAATGCTTCAGCTCCAACAACTTCCGGGTCCAGCCGCCAAATCTCGATAAAATCCGGCACGAGCCGATCGATCGATTCGCGTAAAGAGTTCTAAAAGGCTTATAAAAATTGGCGTAAAATCCGAAAGGGTCATCTAATTTTATCTAGTGAAGCTTACAGATCAAAATCTAAATTTTTTACCTTCACAACTCCGGCCGGAATCGCGTGGACCAGCACGTCGTCAGCAACAAAAATTGCGACGTGAAACGGCTCGATTGATTCGGGATTTTCGGCTTTAAAGGGGTTGTGAAGGCTAAGTTTAGGCCAAGCCAGGCCGGAGCCCTGGCACAAGCCTAAGCAAAAAAAGAGGCAACCTAAGCCTAAGCCTATTCTAAGCTTAAGCCCACGACTAAGTCGAGCCTAAGCGAAAGCTGAGCGAAGCCTAAGCAGAGCCCATGCCTAAGCCTAAGCCTCAGCGTAAGTCTGAGCCCAAGCCTGATCTTAAGCCTAATTCTAAGCCTAAGCCTAAACCAAGAATTTCGACCCACTTTCCGCCACAGCAACCACGGCCCCTTCGAAACTCCCGGCGATCGGTCGCTTAAAGTAGAACACAAGATGTCCGAGACCATAGCGTCTAGGAACGTCCATAGTAGCCTGTGTAGCGGATTTTGGAGCGTCACGTAGTCGGAGAGGGCGGATTGATTAACGCCTGTCTCGCCCCATATCTCTCGCCGATCAGAGGGCAAAAAGGGCAGGGAGGGGATGACTCAATGAATTGGATAAAGGAATTAGGTGGAGTTAAGTTTTTACAATTCGTAATTATTCTATAGATGGTGTCGTTAATTTTAATTAATTTATTAAAATAGCAATCTTAATGTTTTTAATAAGCCTACATTTTTTGCAGATTCCGTATTAGAACGTAGCTCTAAAAATTGGACGGTTGTTTGCTCGAAATACTTAGATTTTGTAGAAATTTTTGTTTTAAGAATAGGTTTTGATTTTTTAGAGATTAACCGGATATTCTACAAAGTGTAAATCAATAATAATTCGTTTTATAATGTCGCCAAAAAATGTAGAAATTGAACTTTTCCTTCCCGAGGGTCTGTATAAAATTTAACTCTCAAAAATCACACCCGAATAACGTTTTATACATTTTGTTGTTTTTTATAGATTTGCCTCTAAAAATTTCATTTAAGATTTTAAATTTAAGTCAGAAATGTTCAAAGAATTGGTGATTTGCTACCATAATGTCGAAATTTCATAGCGTTGAAATTCGGCTTTTTTTGATTTTTTTTGCATAGTAACTGACGTTTTCCGGGAAACTAGCGTGTAAATTTCGGTATTAGTTATAGAAATATATAATTTCTGGATTTAGAAATTATGAAATTTCGGTATTTTAAAAGTAACCCAATTAATAATTTTAATAGTTGAAAGTCAATTTGATACTTTGAAATTTAGGCAAAAATATCTAAACTAAATTTGCTTTTAACTTTAACGTGCAGCTCCCCTAAAAAAACAGTAAAAATTGAGCTTTTCCTTTCCTCAACTCTCAAAAACCACCGCCCGCCAAATCCTCAAAATTAGATGGGGCAGCGCAAAAAGTGCAGGGATGCGCGGCGTGGATGGATTCCCTATTACCCCCCACTCTGCCATTCTATTCCCTAACCATGCTCTCGACAATCTCGACTGTATTTTTCACCATTTTGCTGTTTACCGGGTATTTTCGGCTTTTCAAAACTTATATTATCATCCTAGAATTTATTGCGAAAATACGGAAGAGGAGGGCCCGCTGATTAGCCCGGAAGTTCAACGGTAAAAAACAGCGTTTTTTCCTTTTAAACTTAAATGCGTAATTTATAGAAATTACATTTTATTTCCAGGCAATTAGAACTGGAAGCTGCGCCGAATCCGTTTCTCAACCCGCGCGTCCACGTGACATTCCCGGGCGCCGGAAATGTCGACTTGGCCGGCCGGCTTGGTGAGCTTCGAACGCTTCTCAGCCTAAGCCGAAGCTGGCCCTAAGCCCAAGCCTAAACCCAACCGAAGCCTAACTTTAATCCTAAACACCAAGCCTCAGCCTAGCTTAAGCCTAATGCTAAGCCTAAGCCTACACCCAAGCCTGAGTCCAAGCCTAAGTTGGCCCTAAACCTAAGCCTAAGCCTAAGCTCAATCGAAGTCTACGCCCAGGCCTAAGCCTAAACATAAAGCGCAACTCTAAGCCTAAGCCTAGACCTAATCTAGTCCTAAGCCTAAGCCTAAATGTAAGCCTAAGCCTAAGCTAAGCCTGAGCTTATTTGATTTCAGCTTGCAAAGCCGGCTCCAAAAGCTTAACCTCCAAATTTCGATTCCAGGACTTCCGTGGTATACAAATGACGAGGGGCTGGCCGGAAAAATCTACGAGCAAGTCCCGCATTCGGAATGGCCGGGCACCTATCGACGCCTGTTTGAAGCTCTTCCGCCCGGCTTCATCTGGAACGGGCTTGGGCGATGAGCGGAAAGCAGCTGCAATTTGTAAAAAATTGAATAAATATGTTGATTTCTAAATCTTACAGTATGCCAATGTAAACGTTCCTTTTTCCAAGGTTTTTTCGACATTTTTGCTATGAAATCGACAATTTTGTCTTAAATTATTTATTACGTCAGTAAATACGGCTGGTGATGATTCACGACTTATCAAGCTGGAAAGCCCCCTAAAATGAGACAATAATTCGGGCTCCTGCGTGTATCTATCTAGAGCAGCGGAAGCGAGTCGTATCTCGTGGAAAAACGGCTCCCCGGTTCCGTCATTTTTCTCGCCGGTATTTAAGCCTGACAGCCGGGCCGGAAATGCACAGTTTTATCTCAAATTTTTGCATTTTCTCCCTCTGATCAGCATTTTTGTTTCCTAATTAAATTTTGCGCTTAATTGGTTTTAGATTTGACATTTTTTATCTGTGAAAAAAATATGCGCCATAATGGTTTTTTCTTAATGATTGTTTATGGTTTTAGAAATGGAGACGGAAAAGCAAAAGTTCTTCAACTGTCTGCCACTTGCGGTGAGTATGCATTTTGGGTTAACAGGCTAGCAGTGTTCATTGCGGAATTCGAGGTGTGGCTAGCAGAGATCATTGAGGAAGGGGAGGGCAGACTAGCAGAGATCATTGAGGAAGCGATGGCAGGCTAGCAGAGATCATTGAGGAAGGGGAGGGCAGACTAGCAGAGATCATTGAGGAAGCGAGGGCAGGCTAGCAGAGAACATTGAGGAAGTGAGGGCAGGCTAGCAGAGATCATTGAGGAAGGGGAGGGCAGACTAGCAGAGATCATTGAGGAAGCGAGGGCAGGCTAGCAGAGAACATTGAGGAAGTGAGGGCAGGCTAGCAGAGATCATTGAGGAAATGATGGGCTGGCTAGCAGAGATCGTTGAGGAAGCGAGGGCTGGCTAGCAGAGATCATTGAGGAGGCTCGCGCAGGCTAGCAGAGATTCCTTAGGAAATAAATTCCACCACCATTTTCAGTGGTCCGTCTACACCTCCACTTCCATCTTCTGGGCCGCCCAGCTCACGCTATCGATTTTGTTCGTCACGCAGGGCGTGAGTTGTAGTGATCTGTACACAACGCTCCTCCTTACAGTATTATCCGATACTGGCGGCAATTCTTTTATGCTTCGTCTTCATCATTATTTCTATCATCGGCACAATGCGGCAGAATACGTGCATGCTGTGGTTGTATCTCATTTATGCGGTAAGTGTTTTTAAAGGGACTGGAAAGCAACTAGCAACGAGCCGCAACACGCAACGCGGAAGTCAGCCTTGATACGAAATCGATATCGTCAAAAACAGCCTTTTCTCAAGCAAATTACCTCAAAAAAACACTGCCAGCTTGCCCTGTTTAAGATCTTGGTATGCCTTGGCCTCGGCGGCATCTTCTTTTGGATGCTCTACATTGTCATACGAGGCAATGCCAATCTATTCCATACCTATTGCGAGGAAAATACGAAAAGTGATAGCTGCAATGCAAGTGAGTGATTGACTATCGTTTAACAACAACACCTTTTTTTCAGCAGCTCGGAAAATTGGGGGCCTGGCGCTGGGAATGGCAGTGGTGGGCCTGGCTTCCGGTGGCTATGCTCTGAAATGTGTGCATGCTTACATTGCCCATGTTGAGAAGAAGCCGAAGAAGATACGACAAGAAACGTGAGTAGCAGAGATCATTGTGGAGGCGGTGGCAGGCTAGCAGAGATGATGGGGGAATGGAGGGCAGCCTAGCAGAGATCATTGAGGATGTGAAGGGCATGCTAGCAGAGAGCATTGAGAAAGCCAGGGCAGGCTAGCAGAGATCATTGAGGAAGCGAGGGTAGGCTAGCAGGGATTTGAGGAATCGAGGGTAGGCTACTGAAGATCACTCTCAATTTTTTCAGCTGCTCCTCCCTCCCACCTCCAGCTCCAGGCCTAATGCCTGCTCAAACTGGCATGAACGTTGTAATGGTCGGTTTCAAAACCTTATTTTTATGCCAATCTCACTCAGCTTCAACCCCAGCCAATCGCGTATCCGATGAATGTGATGTACACCGCGCAGCAACCTGGCATCGGCTACGTGCAGTAAGTTTCTAGCGATTTTTCAAGGGGTCTGGACGTTTTTACATAGCGTAATCGGTTGGCTTTCGGCAAATTTTACAGTTACACGAGGTCGGAACGCCGGGGAATACGGCAAAAATCCCCACATTTTAGGGCTCCAACGGTACAGCCGGTTCGTCCTGTCGAACAACCCGCACCTCCTCCGCCTCGTAGTCTCTTCCTTGAGGTATGTAAACTTCGAATTAGCACCTATAACCGGAACTCGGGCTTTCCAATCTTGGAAAAGATTTTAGAAAATCATTTTTGGATTTTTTTTAGTTTCTCCTACGTCTCTTCATCCGCCGCGCCCAGCCCAACGATCCGCAAAACAGCCAGCAAAGGCTCCTTGGCGCGGCCTAGCCACCGAAACTACAAACTTTGAGGCCGATCGCGGCCAAAATGATCTCTATTATGTTGAAATTAGAAATGACTGACATTGCCGTTTCTTTCATTAATGTATTCAATTACAGCCAAACGGGTAGCAAAAATAAATCGATGAACGTTGTTGAAAGCTAGAAAATAAGGCAGTAAAAAGCATAAAAATGTTAAACATGCCAGATCGTTTCTCGCTTCTCTATTTCACGGTAGTTCTCTTCCTCTCTACCTTTCTCCTCCCTCCCCCCCTCCCTCCCTCCCTCCCTCCCCTCCCTCCCTCCCTCCCTCCTCCCTCCTCCCTCCCTCCCCTCCCTCCCTCCCTCCCCCCCCCCCCCCCCCCCCCTCCCCCCCCCCCCCCCCCCCTCCCTCCCCCTCCCTCCCCTCCCTCCCTCCCTCCCTCCCTCTCCTCCCTCCCTCCCCTCCCTCCCTCCCTCCCTCCCTCCCTCCCTCCCTCCCTCCCCCCCCTCCCTCCCTCCCTCCCTCCCTCCCTCCCTCCCTCCCCTCCCTCCTCCCTCCCTCCCTCCCTCCCTCCCTCCCCTCTCTCTCTCTCTCTCTCTCTCTCTCTCTCTCTCTCGCTCTCTCTCTCTCTCCCCACTCTCTCACTCTACCTTTCTCTCTCTTTCTATCTTGCTCTCTCTCTTCCTCTCTCTCTCTCTCTCTCTCTCTCTCCTGCTCATTAACTCCATCATATTCCCAAAAACGAGCCAAGCTTGATTACCCCAAATTCGTCAATTTCACAAGAGACCCAGGTGGTCATGACGTCTTCAGCTGTTCCGTTTTTTGATTAGGGGATGAATCAGCATGGGGATGGGAGGGTGGAAATGGCCGCCTTATCAACACCGCTCAAAAAGCCCCTAAACTCCAAAAAAAGTGGAAGAGAATGGAAAGGGGTGAGCCCGGGTTCGATTCTGATAACCCCGAGTTTGGCCATTGCTTTTGTCATTTTTCCATTTTTTGGGCCGATTTCCGTTACACTCCACTTTACATGTAGTTATTTATTGTATTTCAACCTTTTGGTCAAAGAGCAAAAAGCCAGGCAAGGTGAGGGAATCGAACCCAGGCCCCTGGCCTGGCAGGAGAGAGCTTAACCAATCGGCCATGAGTGGAATTCCGCGGAAGAAGTCGTAATATTGTTTATTTTTCAGCTTGACAAACATGAGCCGACAGAAGTGGTGCTGCTGCTTGCCGCTTTCGGTAAGTCAATTAAAGAGACGCAGGCTAGCAGGGATTCTTTGTGGAATTCGAAAAGGAAGGCTGGCTAGCAAAGTTTCTTGGCCGAATCAAAGAGACGGGGCAGGCTAGCAGAAATCTTTTAGGAAGTGAATATGGCAGACTAGCAAAACATTTTAGAAAACCACCCATTTCAGTGGTCCGTCTACGCGTCGACGTTCATCTGCTGGGTGACGCAGCTCGCGCTGTCGATTCTATTTATTACGCAGGGTGTAAGTAATGCCAATCTGTACGTAATGCTCCTCCTTACAGTCCTACCCGAGCTACGGTACCATAGGCGTTTGCTGTATGTTCTTCATCATCGCTATCGTTGGCATTCTGCGTCAAAATACCTGCATGCTGCGTTTTTATCAGATTTATACGGTAGGTGGGGTGAATTTAGGGTAGGTGGGGTGTATTTAGGGAGCGTAGCAGAGATCATTGAGGAAGCGGGGGTAGGCTAGCAGAGGTCATTGCGGAAGCGAGGGTAGGCTAGCAGAGGTCATTGCGGAAGCGAGGGTAGGCTAGCAGAGATCATTGAGGAAGCGAGGGCAGGCTAACAGAGATCATTGAGGAAGTGAGGGTAGGCTAGCAGAGGTCATTGAGGAAGCGGGGGTAGGCTAGCAGAGGTCATTGCGGAAGCGAGGGTAGGCTAGCAGAGATCATTGAGGAAGCGAGGGCAGGCTAACAGAGATCATTGAGGAAGTGAGGGTAGGCTAGCAGAGGTCATTGCGGAAGCGAGGGCAGGCTAGCAGAGGTCATTGAGGAAGCGGGGGTAGGCTAGCAGAGGTCATTGCGGAAGCGAGGGTAGGCTAGCAGAGGTCATTGCGGAAGCGAGGGTAGGCTAGCAGAGGTCATTGCGGAAGCGAGGGTAGGCTAGCAGAGGTCATTGCGGAAGCGAGGGTAGGCTAGCAGAGGTCATTGCGGAAGCGAGGGCAGGCTAGCAGAGGTCATTGAGGAAGAGAGGGCAGCTAGCAGAGATCATTTAGGAAATGAGGCAGGCTAGCAGAGATCATGAAGGAAGAGAGGGCAGGCTAGCAGGGATTCCTCGGGAATCAAGGAGTTTTCCTGACGGCAGGAAGTCTCTCTCGCCTCTCGCAGCCGATTTCCCCCAAAAACCACCGCTAGCCTGCCTCTTTCAGACGTTGCTGCTCATCGGCCTGATCGGCATCATCGGCTGGATGTGTTACATCACCGTCCGGGGGGATGACAATGTTTTTTATGATAACTGCGTCGCTGATAAGTACTATGACAATGGATGCAAAGGAGGTTGGTTTTATAGATTTTTCTATTTCAGAGGCAAACAAGTTAATTTTCTTCAGACGCCCGGCGCATCGCCATCCTGGCCATCATCTTCGCGCTGGTCGGGCTGGCCGCGGTGATGACGGCATTAAGAAGTGTTCATACTTATATTGACTATATTGTTATGAAGCGGATGGCGCGGCCGGATCCGTGAGTTTTGAAGGGTTTGCGAAGTGATAGGAAGGAAAGGAGGGGAGATCATCGTGGAATCGAGGACAGGCTAGCAGAGGTTTCTGGGGAAACGAGGGCAGGCTAGCAGAGATCATTGAGGAGGCGAGGGCAGGCTAGCAGAGCTCTTGTGCAAAAATTCCCTCTTTCCAGCTGTTGCCAAGCCCCGCCCCCAGCCCCACTTCCGCAACCCGGAATGAACGTCAATGTGGTGGTAAGTGGCATTAAGATACCTACCGTACTCCTCGTCGGCAAATACGGAATTATCATGCCGATTTTCCGAATTCTTTCAGGTGCAACCCCAGACCGGCGGCTATCCGGTCAGCTATGTCTATGCTACACAGCCGGGCGTACATTATCAACAGTAAGCCTTCAAAAATCGCGGTCTCGCTTTATCTCTCTCTCTCTCTCTCCCTCTCCTCTCTCTCTCTCTCTCTCTCTCTCTGTCTCTCCATCTCACTCGCTCTCTTTGTCTTTCTCTGCAGTGTCTCTGGCTTTCTCGCCTCTCTCTCTCTCTCTCTCTCTCTCTCTCTCTCTCTCTCTCTCTGTCTGTCTCTCCAACTCACTCGCTCTCTTTGTCTCTCTCTACAGTGTCTCTGGCTTCTCTCTCTCTCTCTCTCTCTCTCTCTCTCTCTCTCTCTCTCTCTTGCCCCTCTCTCAAGCTCTCTCAAACGTGGCTCTCTCGTCTCTCTCTCGAGCGCGAGAAAGAAACAATATTCGAATACGTACCTAATTTCAGACAACCAACCGTCCCACCGGCCTACCAACCGGTCTACCCGACATATCCGGCTCAGACTCCTAGCGGTAAATCAATAAAGTTCATCAAACTCTTGTTTTTAGCCTCAGCCTCCGCCCCTCCTCCACCGTACCCAAACCTTGGCGAGCCGGGCAAATACTAAATTTTCGAGGCTGCAATAATTTTTCATGAGGATCTAATCTGTGATTCATTTTCTGCAAAAACGGGTAGTTGGGAAAAAAATTTTACATTACAATTCTGTTATGTACAATGAGAGAGGCAAAGAGAGAGAGAAAGAGCGAGAGCGAGAGAGTGAGAGAGAGACAGAGAGGCAGAGAGATAGTGAGAGAGACAGAGAGCAAGAGAGAGAGAGAGCGAGAGAGACAGAGAAAGAGCGAGAGAGAGAGAGAGAGAGAGAGAGAGCGAGAGAGAAAGAGAGGGAGAAAGAGAGAAAGAGGCAGAGAGATCCCAAGATCGACATTTACAAAAGGCATACACCCCGATTTGAATGGCGGCTAATTTGTGGGCCCTTGACGTGGGGCAGGGCCCATTTTAAGGCCCATTTTTGGCCCCAAAATTTGGCTCATACCATGGCTAGAATCGATGCTGCGAATTCGGATATCTTTGCTACCGTATTCTTAGAAGGAATCAGAAAATATGGCGATCGCGTGGCGCTGGTAAGCGAGCAGGGATCATTGTGGATGAGGGCAGCCTAGCAGAGATCATTAGAGAAGCTTCCAGATTGACCCCGAATCCGGCACCAAGTTTCGATTTTCCGACCTCGAGCCCTGGGTGGAAAAATGCAGACAAAACCTGGAAAAATTATCTGGATACGGTAGGTACTGATCGGTTTTTAGAAAATGATTTCCAGCCGAGACCTGGGCGACGTTTCTGGGGAATTCGGTGGAATATTTGGTATTTACGCTGGCTGCAAATTTGATGGGTATCGCCGTGTGCCCGTTGAATCCTGCGCTGAAGACGTGTGAGTCGAGAGAGAGAGAGAGAGAGAGGGAGAGAGAGACGGAAATCCAAATAATTACAGATGAAATCCAAAAATATGCCCACCAGGCAGGTGTCCAGAGGATTGTTGTGGAGAAGAGGCATGAGGAAAAAACGGGCATGATTTTAGAAGTGTTTGAACAGAAGGTGGGCTTTAAAGGGATTCATAAGCTGGAAAGCCGGACAGGCTAGCAGAGATCATTGTGGAAACGAGGGCAGGCTAGCAGAGGCACTTTACCGACCGATTCCAGTTCTCTAAGGTTTTTTTCAGGACATCATTAACCTAGAAGACCTGATGCTAGAAGCCGTCTGTGAAGCGGAAGTGGAAAATTCCGAAGCTCGGAAGCCGGGATCGGCCGGGGAAGCCGTAAATTGTTTCCTAGCTTTTGACACTTGAACCTAGGCCCAAATATTTTTCTCGTCTGGCACTTCCGGACCTCCAAAGGCGGTGGAGCTGAGCAACAGGTCGCTGAATGGGCTGGTTGAGCAGATTAGGTAAGCCTATGAGTAAACCTGGGCCTAAGCCCCAGACAAGCCTGAGTCTAAGCCCAAAGCCTAAGCCTAAGCGAAACCCAAGCCAAGCATAAGCCTAAGTGTAGCTAAGCCTAAACCCAAGCCCACGCAAACGATCCCTACCCAAGCCTAGCCTAAGCAAAACCTAAGCCAAGCCCAAGCAAAGCCTAAGCCTAGCCTAAGCATAAACCTAAGCCTAAACCTTCAGAGCCACCTCCAACGAGTCCTCCCGCTGGCCCCTAGTCGGCGTAGATGACGTCGTCCACGGTGTTCTGCCCTTCTTCCACGCTGGTGGCCTGTTGACACTCTATACGATGCTCCTCCAGGGGGCCACCGTAGTCCTTAACGACCGCTTTGATCCTCAACAATTTCTAGCGACAATTGAGGCTTATAAGGTAGTTTTCTTCTCTCTTTCTCTCTCGCCCTCTCTCTCTCTCTCTCTCTCTCACTTTCTCTGTTTAATTTCAGGTTACCGTCATCAACGTCGTACCCCCGGTCCTCTCCTTCCTCGCCACATCGCCACTTCTCAAAGAATTCGACCTCGAATCCCTGCGGATGATTTATGTAGATTTTTCCAGATTTTTTAGTTTTTATCTTTATTAAATGCATTAAGTAGCTTTAAATAATCGATTTTAGGTAGGGGCTGCTCGAGTTGCTCCCGATTTGATCGCAAAAACGCGCGACGCCTTCAGCCAGCCCGTTCAGATCGTGCAGTGTGCGGTAGTTTGGGGGCAATTTTAAGAATTCGAAGCTTCAGCCCAAACTTAGGCTTAAACCTAAGCCTAAGCCTGCGCCAAGCCTAGACCTAGGCCTAACCTAAGCCTTGGCGAAGCCTAACGTAAGCCTAAACCTAAGCCTAGACCTACGCCAAGCCTAAACCTGAGTCCAAGCCTAAGCGATGCCTAAACCTAAGCCCAAGCCCAAGTCTAAGCCGATGCTTAAGCCTAAGCCTGAGTCTGAGCCTATGCCTAAACCTATGCCTAAGAAATCTTACCCAGAAAGCTGACATTACAGTATACGGCATGACGGAGGCTGGACTACTAATTTTCATGACCCCACCCGACAACGATAGGCTCGATTCCGTGGGACTACCCCTGCCAGGGGTGGAATACAAGGTAGGGCTTAATTATAGCATATAACTTTATACTTAATTCCTTCAAATCCAACTCTTAGATCCTCGACCCATCCGGAAACACGGTAAATGTCGACATTCCGGGCGAGCTATACCTCCGTACGCCATGCCTTTTAGCTGGCTACCGTAATGGGGAAAAGCTGGATTTCTTGAGGTGAAAATTTCTGAATGATCTTTGCTAGACTGCCCTCTCTTCCTCAATGGCCTCTGCTAGCCTACCCTCGCTTCCTCAATCCTCTGCTAGCATTCCGTCACCTCCTTAATGATCTCTGCTAGCCTGCCCTCGCCTCCTCAATGATCTCTACTAGCCTGCCCCCACTTCCTCAACGATCTCTGCTAGCCTGCCCTCTCTTCCTCAATGATCTCTGCTAGCATGCCTGTATCTAGCCTTATCCCCTTCCTTTAAAGCCCGGACGGCTGGTTTCCGAGCGGTGACCTTGCTCGTGTCGACGCCGATGGTTTCGTCTCCATTGTAGGCCGCACAAAGGAGATGATCAAAGTGCGAGGCTGGCAGGTAAAGTCTTTTTGGATTACCGTAGTTTCTATTTTCCGCTACTTTCCAAAACATCCAATTTTCTGGTGCAATTTTCCATTTTAATTCCCATATTTCCAGGTGTCCCCCTACGAGCTCGAGGAGGCCATAAAAAGCAATATTTTTGGTGTTGAGGACGTGGCCGTGATAGGTGTGGAAGTTGAGGAAGGGCTAAGAAAATCTGGATGCACCACGGCGGCTACCGTACCCCAATCGATTGGCCAGCGCCCCTATGCTTTCGTGGTGGGACCCGAGTGTGATCCGGAAGCCGTCAACAGATTTGTGGAAGGTGAGGGTTGCGAAGTTAAGCCTAAACCTAAGCCCAAACCAGGCCTAACCTAAGCCTAAGCTTAAGCCTAAACCTATGCTTAGGCTTAAGCCTAAGCCGAAGGCTAAGCCTAAGCCTAAGCTGGCGATTCCAGAAAACTTCGTTTCCTACAAGCACCTGGCTGGGGTCTCGATTGTTGGCGAGCTACCAAGGACGGCCTCCGGAAAGCTGTGCCGTCACAAATTGCTAGAATTTCCACGGACAGTAGGCGAATAAAGTACATTTTGTTTAGAAATAAATGATTTTAAAGTCCTCCAAAATCTCTGCTATTTGGCGAGAGAGAGGGCGTGGGAGAGAGCGAGAGCGAGATAGAGAGAGAAATAGAGAGAGAGAGAGAGAGAGAGAGAGAGAGAGAGAAAGACAGCGAGTGAGTGAGAGAGCTGAAGAGAGCGGGAGAGAGAGAGCGTGAGGGAGAGGAAGAGAAGGATAGAGAGAGACATAGAAAGACAGAGAGAGCGAGAGAGAGCAAGAGAGAGAGCGAGAGAGAAAGAGAGACGGAGAGACGACAGCAAGACAGACGAATTTATTCAACTCTTAAAATGGACACTTGCTGTCGGGGACCTGCGAAGGGCACGTCTGCTGTTGGAAGCACTATAATGAAAAAAATATAGTAATCTGGATCCCTAAGTACCTTTGCCAGCCTGTCCTCCTTAAAAAAACTCACATTACAAAGCTGCGAGATGCCGTCGCTGGCCGGGTACAGCATCGGCACCACGAAGCCGTTCAGGACGAACTGGAGGAGCGGGCCCATCTCATCTTTGTCGTCGCACTAAAAGAAGACTTGGACGCTACGCCCAAGCTCTGCTCAAGTCTAAGCCCAAGCTAGCTTAATCGATGACTTACCGGCAACTGTATCCCCACCAGCGGCGCGATCAGCTTGCACACCTTCATCACCACGTCCAGTAACGCGTTGAAGATCTGAGAAAATTATCTGTAGCGAGAGAGAGAGCGAGAAAGAGAGAGAGCCAGAGAGAGAGAGGGAGAGAGGGAGAGACGGAGAGAGCCAGTTTTTCCCTGCCAAAAACCAGCCTACTTACCCCTTCCGTAAATAACGACTGCGTCAGGAATTCCGTAAGCTGTAAAAACGAAATTTCCGCACTTTTTAAAACCACCTACCGTACCACAGAGAGCACACTCTGGCGGGAATGGACTATCTCGAATATGTGGACCTGCGCCGACAATTCCGCAACCGTCCTTTGGATCCACGCGGAATGCTAGCGTTTTTAGGACAGATTTGAACAAGAGTTGGCCGTGGGAGAGCTAAAAATAGGTTAATAAAAATTTTATGACAATTTTAAAGGCCGTGACAAGCCAAATCAACATATCGGGGGAAAGCGAATTTTCGAAGTTCATATCTTTTTTATTTTAAGTCAATTTTGTTTGAATTTTTCCGAATAACGAGAGCATTATAGAAATCATCAGAAGAAAAAATTTCAGCCCAAAAAGTTTTAATCTAAAAAATCTATGGCAAAAATACTGCTTCAATTTTTTTGGTTTTTTGGGGCATAACTTTCTACTTTTATATGACTTCAATCTAAAAATTTGTAAGTCTATGGCTTTTAACTTTCTGCATCTAACAAAAAAAATTTAGCAGAAAGCGGGCTAATCTAAGAAAGTCAGCGCAAAAATAAGGACCCGGCTCACCCTCGCCTGCACCTCCGCCTTGCACATCTTCTCGTCGGGACGCCCGGAGCACAGCGTTGTCAAAGATTCACGGAGGTCATCGTAGAGCTTTTCCTAAGATTATGCTAATTTTATAAATTAAAGTACCCACCATTTCTCGCGCAACCTCAGATGTATAGGTACACAGTCCAGAAGCGGGAATCGGCCTCGGCGTGCTGCAAATCGAGGAGCAGTCGCCGAATTCGGAGGCCTGAAAATGGGGTAGCGAAAGAGTTTTTGGGAATGAATGAGAGAGCGAAAGAGAGAAAGAGAGAGAAAGAGAGAGAGAGAGAGAGAGAGAGAGAGAGAGAGAGAGAGAGAGAGAGAGAGCGGGATCCAACCACTTTTACCCACCTTGGTCGTCAAATACTTCGCCATCCGACCAGCCGCCTTCTCGGCCACCTAAAATTCAAATTAATTTCGGACTTCGCAAATTTCGATTAAATTAAACTCACAATTCCACAAAATTCCGGCCGCCCTTGGGCGTGGAGCTGTTGGCAGGCGGTTTGAATCTTGGAGTGAAGCTGCAAAAAAACTGTTTGGAAAGGGTCTGGAACAAATTTTTTTGAGCCGACGCTAACCCGACCTTGTTAGAGATTTTGCCTTGTCCATCCCTTTAAACCGCTAAATGCCAAATTTTGAGCGCCTGGTCTCTTTAAAATAAAACAAGATTTTTCTAAAAGCTGAGCAGGAATCACGAGGCTTTCCATCACCACAGAGCCGTGGATTTTGCCTTGCTGGTCCATTTAAAAATGGAAGCAGCTAGCTTTTAAGTGTATTCCTTGTAAACTCAACTAAAAATAATTTCCAAAGGTCCTATTTTTTAGAATTTCAAAAATATTAAAATACGTTAAATTGATTCTTAAGTTTACAAACATTTTGAACGTACCGTATTTTTGAAATCCTTGCCCACCGATTGTTGACTGAATTGGCAAAGCGAGCAGCCGGTAAACTAAACAAAAAAAATAGGTATGAACGATTTCAGTTTTTTAGAGCACCTACCGTCTGCCCGACAACATCAAGCAGTTCGTGTTGGCTTGAAAGGCCTGGAAAATTAGTTTGAAAGAATTTCAGTTATTTTCCTACCGATTAAAGCCAGAAAAAACAGCGCTTTGCCCGTCATTTTGGTCGAAATTCTTCGGGCTGCCAAATTCTCTTATCGAATCTGGATGGCGGCTTCATCTGAGTCTCTGCCCTTTCCGGCTAAAGATAAACACGTAAAAATCGATGGATGGGTCCGGAAGGTCCTAATTTGCATAAAATTGAAAAACGTGAAAAATCAAGAAAAGTTAAAATTATCCTAAGCAACCTCTGCCAATTTTCCCCGACTTCCGCATTGATCTCTGCTAGCCTGCACTCGCTTCCTCAATGATCTCTGCTAGCCTGCCCTCCCCTGCCCCAATGATCTCTGCTAGCCTGCACTCGCTTCCTCAATGATCTCTGCTAGCCTGCCCTCCCCTGCCCCAATGATCTCTGCTAGCCTGCACTCGCTTCCTCAATGATCTCTGCTAGCCTGCCCTCGCTTCCTCAATGATCTCTGCTAGCCTGCCCTCGCTTCCTCAATGATCTCTGCTAGCCTGCACTCGCTTCCTCAATGATCTCTGCTAGCCTGCACTCGCTTCCTCAATGATCTCTGCTAGCCTGCCCTCCCCTGCCCCAATGATCTCTGCTAGCCTGCCCTCGCTTCCTCAATGATCTCTGCTAGCCTACCCTCGCTTCCTCAATGATCTCTGCTAGCCTGCACTCGCTTCCTCAATGATCTCTGCTAGCCTGCCCTCCCCTGCCCCAATGATCTCTGCTAGCCTGCCCTCGCTTCCTCAATGATCTCTGCTAGCCTGCCCTCGCTTCCTCAATGATCTCTGCTAGCCTGCCCTCGCTTCCTCAATGATCTCTGCTAGCCTGCCCTCGCTTCCTCAATGATCTCTGCTAGCCTGCACTCGCTTCCTCAATGATCTCTGCTAGCCTGCCCTCCCCTGCCCCAATGATCTCTGCTAGCCTGCCCTCGCTTCCTCAATGATCTCTGCTAGCCTGCCCTCGCTTCCTCAATGATCTCTGCTAGCCTGCCCTCGCTTCCTCAATGATCTCTGCTAGCCTGCCCTCGCTTCCTCAATGATCTCTGCTAGCCTGCCCTCGCCTCCGCAATGATCTCTGCAAGTCATCCCCAGGACAAACTAGCGGAGATCATTTGCACTCAGGTCCCACCAAGATTTCAGCCCGTTTGAAATCCAGCCGAGTTCATTCTCCCCTCCAGGGGGCACACCGGATGTTTACCCAACCGAATTTATTAGGGGTGGGTGGTGGGGGGCAGTCTTGCGCGCGTTTTGCCACACACAACCAAATTGCGGCCCGGGGGTTTGGCAACGAAGTTCGCAGACTAAACGGCGCGCGCCTTTCCGGTCATACTTACCCGGGCGTATAACTTTAAAGGAACTGTGAAGGCAGGGTACCTGGCCTGAATTTCGTTCCTCAGGAATCTCTGCTAGTTGTTTTTAGTTTAAGATAGGGATATGGCCTAACGCTAAGCCTAAGCCTGAATCTAAGCCTAATCCTAATCCTAATCCTAAGCCTAAGCCAAGCCAAGCCTAAACCTAAGCCAAGCTTCAATCAAAGCCAAGCCTAAGTCTAAACCAAGTCCAAACCTAAGCGTAAGCTTAGCCTAAGCCTAGGCCAAGCATAAGCCAAACCTAAGTCGAGTCTCAAGCCCATTTCCCAAGTAATCTCTGCTAGCTAGCCCCTCCTGGTTTCAAGGCCCCGCAAGGCCAGGGCAATTTTAGCCTCGTTAAGAATCCCACCTCATACATTTCCTCAATAATCCCTGCTACCTGCCCCATCGTACGTTGTTGTCTCGTGTATCGTTGCCGAATTGGAGGGTGTTCCACCTAGTGGAATGGGGGGAAATGGGATTTAGTACGGGAGGGCAATCCTAAAAGGTGGACCCAACTACTAGAGCTGCCCTGCCCTCCCTCACCTAATCTAATAGACAGCATCCATTCCAAATCTTGGACTTTCGGTCAGCACAAACAATTCTGAAGTTGGGGAGGATTGCTCAGCGTTGTCTGCTAGTTTTCCCTAAAAATTTTTGTGTTACTGTCCCTTTAAAAGAGGTTGGCTCTTTGTCGCTCTAGTATTTGCTCTTGCTTTCTCTCTCTCCCTCTGTTTTGCTAGCTTCTCGCTCTTTCTCCCGCTTCTCGCTTTCTCTAGCTTTCTCTCGCCTTCTTTCTATCTATCTCTCTCTCTCTCACTCTCTCTCTCTATCTCTCGCGCTCTCACTCTCTCTCTCTCCCCAAAATCTTGGTACCCATTACCGAGTCATACCCGACCCCCCCGAATGGCCCGTTTCCGGCTGCAGAGGAACCTGTCAGCCAGCCTCTGGAGTCGGATTTTACTCACTACCCTATCATACTCCATTCCCGTCCTTCTTCATCTATTTTTCCTAACCTGTACTATGGATGATACTGTAGAACCTACTGTAGCGATGCTACGTACCACACAATATGAATCGATCGCCCTGTCGCCGTCGTTGTACTCGCGAAGGTCGAACAGGTCTGGTTTATGGAATATGGCGATAGGTGCACGCTAGCAGAGATCATTGAGGAAGTGGATTCTATTCAGAATTTTGGATCGATTTTAACGATTTTTTATCCTTTTTCAGATCTTCCCGCTCTGTCTCTCGATCTCCAAGTATTTGCACCGAACTGCCCGATCTCCGCGACGTCGCTGGAGAGGAGGAGGTGATTTTGAGCACGATGTTTAGCGCAATTTATAAAGCTAAAAATTGCAACGAAAATAGCGTTTTAACAGAATCTATAGCTCTTTTTTGTCGTGTGGGTGCAGGTCGCTTCGCATGCTGTGGAGGGCTTTTTGTAGAGCATCGCGGATGGCGCTCATCTTGTCGAATACTTCTTCGGGGGATTTGTTTTCTTCGAGGGATGCTTCCTAGAAATATCTATCATTTACGCACTCACACGCTGTCTCTCTCTCTCTCTCTCTTTCGCTAGCTTCAACTTACAAATCCGCTGAATAACGCTCCAATGTTCGGCACATAAGGAAGAACGATCTTTGTCACATGCTCAAAGACCTGAAAAAGGAATATTGAGGCTCTTTGTCCATTTCTCTCTCTCTCTCTCGCTCTCTCTCTCTCTCTCTCTCTAACTTACCGAAGCCATGAATCCCATGCCCATAAAGCCCTTAATTTCCTCGACGACCATCTTCTTGTTGGTCGTCTCCAAATAGTCGTCCAGCTGTCCCAGCAGCCCTTCGATTTTCCGGAAATCATCTTCGGACAGTTCTAGCTAAAATATTGAGGCTAGCAGAGATCCTTCAGGAAGCATTCTGTTCCGCTGCCTTGAAGAGCTATCTTGAAATTGTGATGATTATTCAAATTTCTCAGCCTCCCCGCTTCCTCAATGATCTCTGCTAGCCTGCCCTCGATTCCTCAATGATCTCTGCTAGCCTGCCCTCCACTTCCTCAATAATCTCTGCTAGCCTGTCCTCGCATCCTCAATGATCTCTGCTAGTCTGCCTCAGCTTCTTCAATGATCCCTGCTAGATTGCCCTGGCTTCTTCAAAGATCTCTGCTAGCCTGCCCTCGCTTCCTAATCTCTGCTAGCCCACCTCTTCATGATTCTCCCCCTCTTCAGCTGGTTCTCGTATCTCCAATTCTTCTTCTCCTTTCGCCTCATCATCAGCTCGCACAACAGCAATAGATCCGATGCAAATTGCTAGCAAAATGACACGTTTCATAGCCGGGTAATATTTCGTGAAAATGGACGTGGCGAGGGCTCCCCATTTCCGGTGCCGACGCCACTAATAGCCCCCCGATTTTGCGGGTGTCATTTTTAGAGGATTATTTTCGTGCGCGGTGAGCTCTTGCTCCCGGAAAAATGAGCATCAAATATGGAGATGGAGCTAGAGAAGGTTGGCGCATTAATGGGAACTTTTTCCGCAAAGAATCACCGCTAGTTGACCTCTTAAAATGCTAAAAATGATGTTTTTTAAATTTTGATACACTGAAGACAAGCGCAGTTGTGCCCTGCCTCAAAAAATCTCTGCTAGCTTGCCCTGCTTCTCGTCTTTTTCTAGGGAGTGCCAGAACAGAAGCACCATTTCAAACCCCGTCTATTCCAATCGAAAAGCGCCTCCTGTCTTGGCCATTTCGAGGGTTTATGGGGGTGCCGCCAGGGCGATGGGCCGATTTCTTCCTATATTCCGCTCCTTTCCACCTCTTCACTACAATTGGCTTGCTCGTCCCTTTAAACCTATTTCCTGAAATCTCCTAATGAGAAAATTTAAAAAGGCCAGGGTTTTTCACGCTTTACCTTAGGTAGCGGATTGGTAAAGCTCTAGCCTGTCACCCGGAGGATTCGGGTTCGAACCCCAAGGTGGCGAAATTTTTGCTTTTTGCGGAAAAAGTTATTTAACATTATTTAGTTAAATTGTGACTTCTCGGTTCTTTTAAAGTGCAGATGCTAGCGTATTAATCGCAAAAATAGTCGCATCCAAGTCCCATTTCTCTCTCGCTCTCACTGTCGCTCTATAAGTCTCTCCCGCTTTCTGCTCTTCCTCGTTTTCTCTCCTTCTCTCTCGCTCTCTCTTTCTTTCATTCTCTCTCGCTCACTCTCTCTCGCTCTCTTTGTCGCTCTCTATCTCGGGTCTCGATATTTCTCTCTCACGCCTTTGCTCTCTCTCTCTCTGTCTCCCTCTCTCTCTCTCTCTCTCTCTCTCTCTCGCTCTCTCTATCTCTCGCTGTCTCGCTTTCTCTCTCTCCCTCTCCTCGTACGCTCTGTATCTCTCTCGCTCTGTCTGTCTCTCTCTGTCTCTCTTTCTCTCGCCGATCCAAACAACAAAAACCAGGAATTTTCCGCACCATTCCGCCCCTAACGTAAAGAGTTTTCCGGCGGAACTAATTCACAAGGGAAAGCAAACAATAGCTTCCACCTGACTACCCTTTTGCAATTTGCCTAATGGTCCTCCAGTCCACTCGAATCCCTCTATTCCGCCTGGCTCCAAGTTACGCCTGGAATCCATCCTCTAAATCCCAATAATCTAATCACCCAGACGATGGCCGTGGTCAATTTGATGAAGGTTTGTCGGACGGGGGGATTCAGGGGATTTTAAAGGGGTCGGGACGGTATGGGGAATTGGCAGAGCGCCAATTCTGAACAGATCGCTTCGAGACCCCTCGCTGAGGTTTTTGATTTTTGGATTTTCAAAATGCCAGAGCCTTTGAATTTTTTTGTTAAAAAAATGTCTGCAAAATTTATGGCAGAAGCTGAAAAATACCGAATTTAAAAAGGACCAATTTAGTAAATTATCGAATTTTTCGGTTTCTATAGATAGTGAAGCTAATAAAAAAAACCGAGAAATCCAGAATTTTTGCAATCCTGAATTGAAAAAAATCGCACCATATTTGAATGGGATAAATACTTAAATGGACCTGCAAGTCAGGATTTTCGTGGATTCTTAGTGCAAAAATTACAGAATTTCTGCTTTCTCCGATGATCTCGGCTAGCCTACCCTCACTTCCCAAATGATCTCTGCTAGTCTTCCCACTCTTCCTCAATGATCTGTGCTAGCGGGCCCCAATTCCTAAATTGCCCCTGCTGGCCTGTCCTACCCAAGTTCTCTAGAAAACTTTTTCCGACCCCGTACCCCTTCCACCAAGTAGTCCATTTCCTGTCCGCATCAATTCATGCCTTTCTGGATTCGCTCCGGACCCAGGCGCGGCCCAACACAACCAACTTTTTACGGGCTACACCTTTTTACGATTGGTTTCTATTTTTTTCTGATTTTCAATAGATTTTCTGGGCGCTGATGATCGGAAATCTGCTGCAGTTCTTCCCGTTCGATCGGGTGGAGGAGGTGCTGGAAATTTGAATTTTTTTTTGGAGATCGTAGTTTTTGATTGCTTTTATTAACCTTTTATGGTTGATTTAGAAGCCTAAATGATCTCTGCTAGCCCGCCCTCGCTGATAAATGATCTCTGCTAGCCTGCCCTCGACTCCTCAATAATCTCTGCTAGCCTGCTCTCAATCCCATTCCGTTATACTACCCTTTGCCCCCCCCCCCTATATTTCAATATCTTGACTGCCTGTCTATCACCCATCCTCCCCAAGGACCTCCTCCTCCTCCCCGAAATGGCCCCAGAAGTGTCAACATGTCGCTGGTTGCTCGTCTTCCGCAAGGCCGTAAACTACAGGGTGGGTCAAAAAAAAAAAGCCAACTTTGCGCCATATTATCTCGCGAACGGTAGAGAATCAAAGGTACGTTACCATGCCAGAATGCTTAAATATGCTGGGTATGAAGATTTAACACAAGTTGATTTTTTTCGATTTTTGGCGACGTATCAATACAAATGACACCCGAAAAATGTGCGTTCCGGCAAAACTTCGATTGCATTTTTTGGGATTGCTGGTGGTCGAATGCTTCCAGTTTTTATAGTGTGGGTATCTAAGGACTGCCCCTACGCACATCCGAAATTTTGGAATTTTCGAAGGTCTGGTTGGCAAGTTATAGCGTGCTCAAATTTAATATCGAGAAATTTCGTAAATTTCAAATATTACAAAAACCTATGGTGGAAACCTCAAAATAAGTTGTTTTAGCATGTCTATGGGCTCGATACAATCCCACAAAAATATCAAAAAAATTTTTCAGAACCGCGGATTTTTGAGTTTTTCGACGACCCCCTGGTCATGGATACTTTCGAGGTCACGAAACTGAACTTTGGAAAAATATTTCTAAAGTTCCGAATAGAACCTAGGTGTTTTCTTTGCTTGGTTGTGTAGGACTGGGCTCCATCTATCATGTACACAATTTCTAGCTACCGTACCCCTTTGGAAGGTTGCCTTTTAGCGCCGCCAAAACGGTTGGTTCGTGCTATTTCGCAGACCTTCGTGCCAGTCTATAAAATTCAATTGCGCGGCTAGAATTATTGCCATAATTTTATTTAATACTACTTAATGGGCGCGTTCTAAAATTATATTTACAAATTTGTTGGGCCATCCGATCTTTCAAAAGAAATTCATGAAGAGCCCAAATAGACCCGAATTCGAGGCGACGTAAAAAAATTCTCGAGGCGTGAGTAGCCCCGACTTTTCTGGCATAGATCAAGCTTGGATAGTCAACTAAAACCCATGCAAATACAAAACCTTTTCATGGCAAACGAATTTAGAAGAGCACCCCAAAGTCGGCTTTTCAAAAACGTTATTTTCGGGTTTTAAATCAAAATTAACCATTAGCTTCAGCCAGATCATACCAGAATTCTGCTCTCATACACAATTCGATGCGTGCTTTAATTATATCCACGAAAGTCCGGTGACTTTTTCATTTTCAAAAATTCGATTTTCGGCCCGGGGCCTCGGGTCCAGAATCGGGCCCCGAGGAGGGTTTTTCTCTTTCCCTCATAACTTTGTCATTTACCACAGAAAGTAAGTCATTTTTTGCCTGCGTTCTCATAATCACCCAGAGAACATTCTAGAATAGAAAAATCGGCATTTTATGGAATTTTGTCTTGGCATGCTAAAACGCGCTCCAGGCGGGTTACGGTAGAAAACAGAAAATCGCCGTTTTCTCGTTCTTTTCACCATAGAAACGTTTCGATCTTTCAGGAAAACAAATAATAGTAGTTTTTAGTCCGTTGCATCAAAAGATTTAGAAATTTCCGTGGCTAAATTCAAAAATAAGTTTTTTGCATATTTTAAGAAGGTGTATGGCTAGCACTCCACGATCTTTGGCCAATAGGTGACGCTTACTGGTGTTTACCAATGATAAAATTTTACGCAAAATCGCAGCTTGCAATAAAAAGAAAAACGCGGAAAACGAAAACTACAGTATCCCTATGGGGCACGTTTTAGCAAGCAATATTAAAATACCATAGAATCAGGTAAAATTTGGTGTCGCGCTAAAGATTATCACTTGGAGACACCAGCTGCAAAAAATCAGCCATGGGCAGCGTATTTGAAGAGAGTTGCGAATTAAAAAGTAAAAATAAGCAAAATAGGGAAATTTGTTTTGCCTGTAAAAAAAGAACTAAACCTTCAAAAATTCTAAGACTTTGCTATTATTTTTCTACAAATGTCAACTGTTTATAGGCCAAAAATCAGAATTTTTCCACCACCCGTTCAAGAACGCACAATTTTCGGTCGTAACCAGCGTCAATAGTACAGTTGCGTACTCAAAAATCGAAAAAATCAACTTGTGTTAAATCTTCATACCCAGCATATTTAAGCATTCTGGCATGGTAACGTAAGTAGTATATAGTGCGACAGACCCCCCACCCCTAGAACCAGCCGGTGCATGCCAAAGACCCCCACCCTAGGGCCCCTGACAACATGCAGAAGACCCCCCCCACAACAGTTGTTTTTTTGGGACTGGGACCATGGTCCCAGGGTAGATCAGCTGTTCCAGGCACCCTTTCCCCATGGTCCCAGGGTAGATCAGCTGTTCCAGGTACCCTTCCTCAAAGCCCCAGGTGATAAATCCCCTGTCACCGATTCTCCTTCGTTGGCCCCCATTAGTGAACGGCTGTTGATTGCATAATGATTGCACAACGAGTTTGAGGTCAGAGGATGACCGACGAGTGAGTCTGAGAGATGACAGACGCGTCTGAGAGATGACAGACGAGTCTGAGCTGAGGGACCAAAAAAAAAGTTTTGAAGGGTCGGATTGAGGGCCAGGCCCCCGGGATACCGGTTCTGGTCCAAGAGGAGACCTCAGTATGAAATTGGAAAAAAATATTGTTATTACAAAGGTTTACAATGAAATGGCCAAACGGTATGTTCAAGTTTTTTATTTGGTTAAGTGCCGCGGGCAGTCCATACAGTCCGTTTATATTCATTTTTTTAATTTCAGGCATACTGAGCAAGGGTGTGAGACATCTATGATCGAACTCAGGAAAGTCAGAATTTGCCATGTATAGGTCCCGTCGCAAAAATGAAGAAGAGCATTTCTGGTATGTCGTTTTTTTCACAGGATATTTCGATACGATATACAGAGTATCATGAAAATAAGACGTTTCAGGAACACGCTAATCCCGGCTTTGAAGATATTCTTGAGCGGAACGAGCATAGAAGTTTTACAAGCCGCCATAATCGACTTCCACGATATCCTTTAATAAACATTTGTTGCTACTCATATCGGACCCAGACTGCCAAAGATTTTACAAGAAGATTTTTTAGGTGTTTTCTTTTATTTGCATAGTGGGTGTTTAGGGGATAGCAAACAAAGGGATGGCCGCCAACAGTTGCCCTGTTGCCCCTCTCCCCCCACCTCACGACACCCCACCCGGAGGTGTGTGGATGGTAAGGATCCGGCTGTTGAGCCTAAAGATGAGTGAACGGACAGATTATTTACAGCTGGGGAAATGTCACATATAGACATCAATTCATCAAGGTTCTGCATAACGCCTGGATACAATGAAAGGATATCAGTGAACAGACGGCTGTTCTTCGACCTGACCTGGGATTTATAAGCTCGCGGATGGCCCGGATCTTCATTTCGGATTGCTAGCATCACGATGCTCTTCAGATTTTGGTTCAAGTTTAAACGCCTTCACATGTCTTTTTTTTTTACCCTTTACTTCACGCATTCAATTATTTCTAGCGAAAAAAAATACTATGGCGAATCTGCTTATGGGAGACTTTCTGCGATTCCCGCACAAAGTCTTCGAAAAAAGGGTGCTAGGAGAGGGGGACACGGGCGAGTTCACCCGCGTCGCCGGAGGTAGTTTTTGTTTTTTTATGAATAGTTGATATTGATTTGTCATAGGTGGACAGGGCACGGTATATAGATGGGAGCGGGAAGCTCCACTACCTGCGCTGGCCATTAAGCTTATGGTTCTCTCCCGCGACCCTGAAATACGGGCCAAGGAGGTGAAGCGGGTCAGGACGGAGGTTTTTTATGAGGACATAACTCTAAAATTGGATTTTCTAGATCCGCATTTGCGATCACCTGAGGGGCCAGTGCGAACACGTGGTCGTCATCAGGGGTTAGTCTATCGTTCTAAAATGCTTATTTTCTATGTGTATAGATGGCATCCACATGAGAGATCAGGGACGGTACATATTATCGATGGACCTGTTCCCCGGCGTCGACTTGGGCTTGTTCCAAGGTAAGCTACTAAAGGTATAAAGAAGACCCAGTAGGCTAGGGATCATCTATATATTTGGCACTGATCCAACCGGGAAATGTAGATACCACCAAAATGAGCAGAGAGGGGCGAGGCTGGAGGGATCAAAGAAACCTATGTTATTTTTTTATAAAAAAAATACTAAAGACATTTTTTTTACTATTTTTTCTAGAGCCTTCCTGATTCTTTTGTTTAGTCGGCGTCGGAGGCCTAGGGATCGACGAGCTTGTCCATCTATATAGACAGGCCACATTGGGGGTGCTGGAAATGCACCGTCTCGACGTGGTCCACCGGGACATCAAGCCCGAAAATATCCTGATAGAGCCTGAAACAGGTAATGCCATTCATTCTACGTGTACTAAAGCATGTCTAGGCGTCGCAAAAATTTGCGACACCGGCTTCGCTACCTGGTCGCCCCCGGGCACAATTCTACACGAATGGTGCGGGACCGTACCTTTTATGGCTCCTGAGCAGTACAATGGATTGCCGTATGATGGACGCCAGATAGATGCATGGAGCCTCGGCGCCTCAATTTATACAACGCTGAACGGAGATGTGCTCTTCGAGGCACCGGACAGGTTTGAAATACGTTTTTTTCGCATAGATTTTTTTCATTTTTTAGCAATGACAGTCTGTTCCGGATTTTCATGGAAGAAGGAACTTTTCCGCCAAATGAAGACGAGGACATTGACGGCATGGACCAAGAGACTAAAAGTAATAACTGTATAGAATCCATCTTAAATATTTTTTATAGACGTGATTATAAGTCTAATGTCACCGGTGGAGACTCGATGGTCGTTGGAAATTTTGTTACGTTCTGAGTGGATGAGTAGGTTTTGAAAGATGAATTTTAGATAAAATATATGTAGTGGTGATATGCAAACCAAGCAGTTTTTTTAGATGATCCGCACAGCTACACGCCGAGCTTCCCGATTCTTCCAAAATGGCGTGCCTAGATGTGAGTCTCCCTCCCCTCCTTCTGTCGGCCTGTGTGTATGTCATTCTGTGAGACTGTGTGTTTCCCTTCGGTCTGTCCCTCTCTTTGTCTCTCTCTCTCTAGCTATTTCTCTCTCTCTCTCTTTCTCTCTCTTTCGCTCCCTCTCACTCACTCTCTCTCTAGCTGTGTCCCTCTCGCTGTGTCTCCCTTCCCTCCTTATGTATGTCTGTACGTCTGATTCACTGGCTCTCTCACTATACCATCATGTAAAATGTGTTTTTTTCTGTGATTTGATTGGCGCTCAGATCAAATAATAAACTTGTTTATTCAGACATTTAGTTAACAGGATATAAAGAAAAAAGAGGATTTCCATTAGTGCGCAGTTGGCTGTGTAGTTGAGCCGTTTCCTGGGAATCGTTGGGCAATGTTGTTGACTTGGCACGCTTCGCATATCATCACCTTGAAGATGCAACTCGTCTCCTTGCCAAGGCTGGTGGTAGTGCGAAGACAGGGCTTGCAGAGGGAGATTTTCAGCATGGGATTTTGATGATCGCGGGGTCCAATAGAGCAGACAAACTGCTTCTGGGTCATCGGGCGTACGGTACCGTCGGTCGGAGCGAGGAAAGGAGTAATTGAAGACATCGTCGTTTGTTGTGTAGCTTTGGTTGAATGATAAAATGAGGAAAATTCTGGCTTATATAGCCTCAAAAAAATCGAGCTTCATTGGGCTCTCTCAATTTGACGCACTATTTTTTAATAATAAACCACGCCCCCGCACCGCTAGAGCAGTATAAGATGGAGCATTTTGCACCGGTTTTTTCATACATCAACATGACCTACTACAACGACGATATCTTCGACTACGAGGCTTGGCTGAAACTTGTCGCTGACCTCGGCTACCCGGAAGGACAACCATCCCCACAATACGACTCGGATTCTGAATCTTACAGTACCGACGAATGGGAGTCTGTCTGTGATCCTACGGACGACTCTGGATACGCAACTGACCGTGAATCCGACGTCGAAATGGCCGCTGACTACGGAGAGGATCAGGACGAGACGGTGCTTTACCAAAACCAAATGCAATGGTATTCGGTATACCCAAGACAGGATTCAGACGATGAATCCCCTGACTTTTGAGTGACTTTTTTCTTTCTCTATTTCGGCTCTCTCTCTCTTTCTCTCTCTCTCTCTTTCTCTCTCTCTCGCTGTCCCTCTCTTTGTCTCTAGCTCTCTCTGTCTCTCTCTCCCTCTCTCTCTCTAGCTCTCTCTCTCTCTCTCTCTCTCTCTCTCTCTCTCTCTCTAGCTCTCTCTCTCTCTCGCTCTCTCTCTCTCTCTCTCTCTCTCTCTCTCTCTCTAGTCTCTCTCTCTCTCTCACTCACTCTCTCTCTCTCTCTTTCTCGCTCTCTCTCTCTCTCTCTCTCTCTCTCTCTCTCTAGCTCTCTCTCTCTCTTTCTTTTTTCTCTGTGTCTCAACAATTTTCCCCATCTCTCGACAGTTTGCAATTTGACAGTTTGTACTTGTTTTCTTTTGTGTTTTCCAGTTAACGTGTTTATCGGTTTTCAATAAAAAAGTTTCAGATACAACAAAGCGCGACTATGAATTACGACTACGACTACGACTACTTTTCCCATCTGATATGGGCCTGGAACAATTTTGTTTCCAATCAAGCAGCAGGTAAATTCTCTCTATCGCAAATATCTAATCATATCTTTCTAGCTGCTGCACTAATGAATCCTGGAGGCGCACCCAATGTCATACCGGTGAGCAGATGTAAATGACCCCTAAAAGTACGTTCTTAGGTGCCGGGTGTACCCCAACCCCCTCTCCCACCTCCGCCTCCGCCACCTCCGCCTCCACCACCTCCGCCTCCGCCACCTCCGCCTCCGCCACCTCCGCCTACACCACCTACGACACCACTGCCTTCTGATCACGATGAAAAGCCGAAACGAAAGGTAGTTCAAGCTGAAGCCAACGAATTCAAACCGCCGTTTTTTTAGCGAAAACTCAAAGATTCAGACAGCAGTTCCCGAAAACGTGCCAGAGAAGAAGCTTCAGAGATTGAAGTGGTAAGTTAGCTTCCCCGAGACTCTAATGACTTCTTTCAGGAAAGGCATGTTATCTACGGAGGTGCTGCTAATGACGTTGACGTTGAGGAAGATGAGATTCTCAACGATAATGCGGGACTCAACTCAATGTTTGACGGTAATACCGAAACATAATATTTTCATAGAACGCTTTTTTTTTTAGAACACGCAATTGCCCCGGACGTTCTCGACGGGATAAAAAGAAACTAGACGGAAAAGGTAGGGCATTGTCTCACAGCCATTGACGGTTTTTTTTTCATAGATTTTCGACTGCAACTCTCAAAGACGAGAGCACGAGGACTTAGAATGGATCAAGCGACAGCAACTGTCGATATCGATCCGACTACAGCGCCTGACAACTTCCTGCCGGTCCTCCAGGAAGCCATGGATCGTCTGTTTGACACTGTCGGCAACACCAGCGTGAGCACCTACTTGCATAGTCAGAAACAAGCATTTTTTCAGGACGAACGAACGTATTCGACAATCCTAAAGTGCCAGACACTTGACGAAGAAGGGCGCAATGAAGACCGATGGGTTGCCTATCTTCCACCACGACTCAGGCCCCAGATCACAGCGGTAGCGCTTGCAGATGTCCTTCAGAGCAAGGTACACAGCTCACACAGGATCAAGAACATGACACGATTCACGCTCCAGGTAAGTTTTTTTTGAGTTCATGCAGCACCACCCTCAAATTTCAGCTGGACGGCTATGAAGTGCGAAAAGGAGGAGCAGGAATCATGGATTGGACTGGAAAACTTGCCGTTTTCTACCCAGCAGACCTTCAGAATGCGTGCTTCCCCATGAGCGTCTACCTTCTCGTGGAATTGGCCAAGATCATGGACTTCAGTGCCACACTAATCAGAGGAAGAAAAGGAATCAAGGGGAGGTATGGGCATATTAGGCTACCAAGACTGTGTTTTTTCAGAGGAAAGCAGCGAGAATGGACTGAACTCAAGGAAAGCCTTATCCGAGAGTTTGACGGGGCCTTCCACCAAGACCCGGACACAATCGTGAAAGCTCAAGACCTTTTGAGAAGCCTATGGCCCGGATACATAGCCGGACAGATGGTATCCCTGCCTGAAGCCGCCCAAGTCCTCAAGGAGGTCAACCGACGGAAGCTTGGGAGGATCTACATGTTCGACAAGGCGTAAGTGTCCAGCATATGATAAAAAATAACACAATTTTTAGGGGCAAAAAGCTTGGATGTACGCCTGCCTACAACAATGTTGATGGCCGTGTCCTGACGATGGTGTACGAAGAACAGAATGAGCACTTCAAGCCGGTCACTAAGGCACCTTCGGCCGTTACGTGGATTCGTCAATCTCCCTACGACATCGACGAGGTCTTTGCGTACAAAAAGCAGTGCGATGGATGTGGAGTCTACTACAACGAGAACTACCACAAAAAGTAAGGCGTTTCTTTCGGTTTAATTCCAAAATTTAGATGTGAATGGCGCTGCCTGAGATGCCAAACAACAGGGAAGACCTGTGAGAATGAGCCTGGCGTCCGGACAAGATGCACGACGTGCAATGTCTGCTTCCAGAACCAGACGTGCTACGACAACCACTTCAGGAATCGTGTGTGTGGAAAGCGCTTCTTCTGCTTGAAGTGTGACTACTACTACGATGCCACGAGAGATGGCATGAAGGCACATGTGTGTGGACAGTAAGTGAAAAATAATCAGTACTCTTACGTCGATTTTAGGCGCTTTTGCCAGACATGTATGAAAATGCAGCCCATCAAGCACGACTGTATCTTTGCTCAGTCACATAACAAGCCTGCAACTCGTTACAAGTCTCAGCGTTACACGTGAGTTCATCATTTTCAGAAAATACATCACAATTTTCAGCATAATCGTCCTCGACTTTGAAACAGAGGTCGTCAAATACGTCAACTGCGAGATGATCGACATCCCACACAAGGCAACGCACTGCTACATGCGACAAATGTGCGAGGAATGCACTCCTGATGAGTAAGTGTACTTTGCAAAACTGCCACTCTCCATCTTTCAGACTCTGGGCCGGCGAGAAAATCAAAGGAGGTCGCCTCGAGCGATACGACCACGAACTTGTCGAAGAATCCGACGAAGATGAAGAATCTGACGATCAACAGCAACGCCCAAAGAAGCTGAAAGATCGGTGGATAGTGCGCAGGCCCCAAGGGGAGTGCCGAGGACAGTGCTTCGAAAAAAGGTATTTTTACAGCAATTTTCCAGTTTCACACACTTTCAGGTTCTCGAATCTCGACGAACACGGCGTCTGGCACGAGGGCAAGGTCGTTGAGGATGTCGTCGACTTTTTGCTTTTCGAGAAGCACGACAAGAAGCAGGAGAAGATCGTCCTCGCCCATAACGGAGGTATTTTTTGAGTACCCTTGATCGTGCAATGTGTTTTTTTCAGGAGGGTACGATTGGGTTCTCCTACTCCCGGCTCTGATGGCTCGAAAAATCCCCTACACACCGCTAATGCGAGGGTCCCGCATCGTGGAAATGAAGATCGCCGGCCGCCCAAGCGACTGCAAGCAGAATCGCCGACGAGCAGTTCAACGCCGGCCTCCGGCCCCACATGAGCGTCGCCGCAACAAGGTAAGTTTTTTGGTTTTACGTACACCATCCCTCAAATTTCAGCTCCGCTTCATGGACACGTATCGGTTCATTCCGATCGCCCTGGGCAAGTTCGCCGACGTGTTCCGGCTCAATGAAGAGAAGGGTGTCTTTCCAGTGTTTGCAAACTGCGAATACTGGCGTCAACCAGGCCCTCGAGGCTGGCCGTCCGAAGAATGGTTCCCGGTTCGCACAGAAGGGCAGCTGAAGAAGGTCAGTTCATCCCCAAGAAATACAAACGAGCTCATGGTTTTAGGTACGAGAAACGCTTGTCGAGAAGACCGGACAAACTTTCAACCTTGAAGAAGAAATCTGGAAGTACTGCGAGTCAGATGTGAACGTGCTGCTGATGGGTGTGATGCTCTTCAGGAAGAACCACGTGGAACGAGGCGGATTCTGCCCGTTCTCCTCGTGTTCAACGCTGGCGTCTACATGCATGACGCTCTTCCTGATGAAGTACTACAAGGGACAGCCGATCGCAATGGTTAAAGAAACCCCTGAAGGAGCTGAGCGCAAGTACTCTGAGGTAAATTCAAATTCAATTCAAGTCAACAAACACACGTTTTAGGTTGCCGAGAAATGGCTGCAGTGGATGGAATATCAGCAAAATGGACATCCGATTCAACGGCAGCTCGCGTATGGCGGCGAGAAGCGCATTGTATGCGGAGCAGCAGAATATTTCCTTGATGGCTACTCGGTGATGCCAGACGGGAAGCGTGTCGGCTTCGAATTCAACGGGTGTTATTGGCACGGTATGTACATAGAATGTTTTTTTAAATATTTCAAGTTTTAGGCTGTCTCTCTTGCTATGGCCCGAACGCCAACTTCCCTGCCGGCAAGGGACAAGCGGATACCATTCGGGAGCGGTTCGACCGGACCGTCCAGCGATACGAAGCTCTCAACAATTCAGGTATTCCACACGAAACCCAACATCCAAAAGTGAATTTTCAGAGCTACTGGACGAAATTGTCGTGAAGCGCGAGTGCGACTTTTACAGAGAGCTGCAAGAAGACCGTGAGATGCGTGAGTACTGCGAAAACCTTGACATTCCGGGGAGACTCTGCCCGCGACGTGCTCTGAAGGGAGGCCGAACTGAAGCCTTCAAGGCATGGTCGACTCCTGGCAATCAAGTACATTACCAGGATGTTAATTCGTAAGTCTCATGCTGAATATCTTTATCCTAAATTTCAGAATGTACCCTCACGTGCAGCGCGATGGCCTGTATCCGCTTGGCGAAGCAGTTATTGAAATGTTCCAGGGCAAACCCAATCGTCTTCCTTCTCATATTGTTAAAGTAAGTAAAAAACAAGTCTAAGAAAAAAGCTCAACAAATTTTTTAGAAAACATGGCGGGCCGTCGATGTGTACGAAGAAGGCCTGTTGAAGAGGGAACGCCGCTGCGTGCAAGAGATCCAAGTTCGGGGTTTCCTGTACGTTGATGTCCTGGTTCCGCGCGACATCCCGATCACACTTCTCCCTCTGACAGTCAAGGGAGGTCTCCAATTCCCGGTCTGTGGACGATGCGCCCAAATGAAGAAGCCTCCTCGAGTCTGCACCCACACGGACAGCGAAAGGTTGCTGCGTGACGTCTACTGGTACGAGGAGCTCCAGCTGGCTCTCGATTGGAAGTGTGAGATTCGATGCGTCCACGAAACGATGAGCTGGAAATCCTTCACCGCCGACTTCTTCAAGGAGTACGTCAGGTAAGAGCCTTTCGAAACGCTTATCCCATCTATTTAGTGACAACATTCGTCGAAAAGTTGAAGCAAGTGGATGGCCAGACGATGCTCAAACTCCAGAAGAAAGGGCGATCTTCCTCAAGAACTTTGAAGACCAAATGGGCGTCCCTCTAAGGCCTGAAGAACTTGACCGTCCCAACCCATCTGCACGCTGGCTGGCTAAGTTGGCCAATAACAATCTCTGTAAGTTTCTCACTTCTTTTTTTCTGTTACGCTGATTTTTAGGGGGCAAATTCGGCCAGAAGCCCACCAATACGAAGACGGACATTTGCTACACGGCTGATGAAGTTGAGAAGATTTGGTGCGATCCAAGCCGAGTGATTACTGATGAGTACCTGATACCCGAGCATAATGTCTGGATAGTCAAGCATAAGGTAAGCATTGAGTATCTCGCTTTGAGTCGTTTTTCAGGGACATCGAGACGACACTGTGGCCCGCTCAAAGGGTTCAATTGCTGTGGCTGCCATAACTACGAGCCGTGCACGCCTACGCCTAAATCAGCTGTTGCTCCAGGTCTATCCTCGACATGTGGGTTTCTCTGTTGTCATTTTTTGAAAAGGTTTATTTCAGGTGTACACGGATACGGACTCGATTGTCTTTGAGGGTGGCTCTGTGGAAGATGACGAACTTGTCAGACGGTTCTATGCTCGAGAAGTGGGCCCCCAACTCGGTCAGCTGACTTCGGAAATCCCCACCGGATGGACATGTGTGAGCTTCGTCTGTCCTGGTAGGTTGGAGAGAGAGAAAATCAAGCCAGAAAATTCTAGGCTCGAAGCAGTATGCGGCTCTGTTGAAGAAGGACGGCGAGGAAGTGTACCAAGAGATCATTAAAACTCGAGGTAAGCATACCCAAGAAAAAAGCCAGAGACACGTTCTTTTAGGCATCACGCAAGATCTCGATAATAAGGGGAAGCTGACATTCAACCGCATGAAGTGTATGGCAACTCAATTTGTTGAACGCTATCGAAGTGACGAAGCCGAACGGGCCGCTGTAGATGAACCAGAACCTTCGATTGAATTTAATTATAAGAATATTCGCAGACCAAAGCCCGGTGTGCTAGAAACTGTTGAAGAACGTAAGAAATACCGTGTTGTTTATAAAAAAGGCTTTCCTAATGCTGAAGGGCAGTATTTTCAGTACGGCCGTATTTTCCGTTAAATTTTTATTGTGATTTGCATAATTTCTATATCATTTTATGTCTGTTTTCGATATTATTTTCGTGGATGTACATGTTTATTTGGCGGAGTGTGGGCAATAAATTTTCCTATTAATTGACTTTACGTGCCTCCCGAGCAGTATGACTAATGCAAACAGCCACATGTGGCCCGCGCGCGCCATTCGACACAGTCCCCGCTCAGTCGCAATCTCGCCGAAAAAACGAGATGGCCGCTTACATTCAAGTGCATGAAGATCTCGACAATCTGATTGTCCACAACCTGGAGATTGTGCGCTACACCACCTGCCCGATTCCATGTCCCTCCGATGGCCGCTGTTACGGCTTTGCCGGGTTAGTTGGTCAATTGTCAATCATGCTCTGGTCTTCTAGATTCAGTTTGCCGGTGTTCTGCTCAAATATCGAATCGAGGCTCGTGGCCGTGGCGGAGAATTGTGTTGCGACTCCGCTAGACATGACGACCCTTATCATCATCATCACAATAATCGCCCTTGTGCTACGCTAAAGTAAAAAACGGAAGGAAAAAACGACTGTCTATTTTGTTGACGATAAACTGTGTTGTAACAAGACTCGGTTCCGCTAAGGTATAAAAGGGCACGAGAGACAGTCAGAATCATACATTACCATGACTCCTGCTGATACTAAGAAACACTGGCTACCGTTTAACGTCTTCTTGAATTGCCGCTACCGTCGTAACGAGAATCACTATCGTCCGCTGACTCCTCGTGAACGTGTTGAGATTGTTACGCTGCTCATGAACGCTACGATGAGATGCAAGCTGACGCATACAAGTGTCGTGGGTCCGCGCATTCTCTGGGATACGTGCCCCGTCGACGTGATTGCGCATACTTCGAGCACCTTCTTGCAGGGCCCGAAGCGTACCATGCCGATGCCCGGATCGATGGGCGTGCCCCTAGACGTCTACTACCAGCTGTACCACGACTACAACACGACATGCGCGTACGAGCCCGTCATTCGAGCTGGAGGAATCAGTTACCCTCAAGACACTATTGAAATCTGTATCGATTAATTATGCCTGGAATAAACGATGATACTATCGAAAAGTTTCGCTTCCGATGGCCTTTCAGCTGTTTTATCATGGGACCTTCAAATTCGGGGAAGAGCTTTTTGCTTAAGCGTATGGTACAGTGGCTAGATGAACTTACCGAACCTGCCGGCGTATGCAAGGGAATTCTAATGTGCTACAGTATCGATCAGCCGCTCTACCACGACTTGGTGGCAATGGACTCTCGCGTACGCCTGTATCAAGGACTGCCTACAGACGCTGACATTGAGACGCTCCAGACGCCCCACTTTATCGTAATTGACGATCAGTGCACCGAGTTGAAGCGCAACAAGACTGTAGTTGACCTCTTTACTAAAGGTGTACACCACCGGAATCATTCACTCGTCGTGATTTCACAGAATGCGTTTTGCGGAGACCGGACAAGCCGGGTTAACGCTTCGTACCTCATCTTAACAAAGAACAACGCAGATCGGAACCAGGTCCGCGTCCTCAACTCTCAAATCTTTCCCGGAAGTCGCTTTCTCGTCGATGCTTACGAGGACGTCTGTGCTTCAGATCCCTACGGATACCTCCTGATCAACAACCACGTGCTTGCGGATCCCCGGCAGAGGCTCGTGACCCACATCTTCCCAGATGACGTGGGCGGGGAGATTGTGTATATGCCTCGCTAACTCTCATGCTCATTCATTTCTGGACATGACTAAACTCACAGCTGCCGATCGCAGGCTAACTGCTAACATTGACTTTCTCAAACGTCTTCAAAAGTCGAAAGACACGAAGCGGATTCTGAAGAAGGCTTCTTGTAGTCAACTGGGCTGTCTCATCGAGTCGATGTACAACGTTAACAATGGAAACGTACCTTTGCACAAGTATGAAGTCCGCAAGCTGAAGCGGCATCTTGGGACGATTGACGCATTGGCACGACAGCGTCAGGTGGAGGCGGCGCGTCACGGACTTATACAAACAGGCGACGGCATTCTGCCATTCATTCTACCTGCACTCATCGATCTGGCTGCAAGATTCATCTTCAATGTTTCGTAAAATGCGACTAGTTCCCTTTACCCCTGGGCCCACCTCATCTACTTCTACTACTACCCCTCCAATTATTAAAGGCGACGGTGCTCCTTTCACTCGTTTTACTCAAGATGATGTCGATAAGCAACGGCTGCAGGTGCTCGACCAGCAAATGCAGCGTACTCTAAACGACAAACGTATCCCCGACAACGTAAAGACACCCCTCTACAATCAGCTCCTTGCCGTGTTCACTGACCTGCTCGCCGAGTTGCGCAAGCGTCACCCTCAAACTAAACGAGAGCCATCTCCCGATCGATACCCGATGCCCACTGATCTGACGTATCCAGAGCCGGAGCGGGAGCCAGAGCCCGAGCCTGAGGTGGGGCCTCCACCGAAGAAGAAGGCTAGGCTGAAGGCCAAAACCAAGCTCCCCATCGTCACGCCTTCGCCACGTTTGCTGCGCAGTGGCAAAAACTTTGGGAAGGAATTTATTGCAGAGCTGAACAAGAGCTTCCCACGCGTAGAGTCAGTAAAAGGACGTCTGATTGACGGAAAACTGGTGATGGACGGTGAAATTGACAGGATCGTCACTCATCTGAACTCTCCCGTGAATAGACGGAGAGGCACACCTGTACATCTCGATCACGTGTTTGACGCACTCGAGCGCGCTAGCCCGTCTTCCCCATTCAGCGCCTACTACCACACACCCGGCAACGACGACTTTGAAGAGGAGGTCGTGGACACTTCGCGTACGCCCCGCTATCAGAAGACGCCTGGTAAGAAGGAGAAAAAGTCAGACAACCTATTCACACCTCGAAACTACTCTACAAGACACTAAACTATGACCCCATCTCTCAAAGATCTTTGGACTTCTCTTGAAAATCCGTCTGCCTTCACTTCCGCAACTGTGCTTCGCCGCGTCGGCAAGGAGCACGGGTATTCTAAGGAGCAAATTGAAGAATTTCTCCGAGGCACACCAAGCCACTACGTTCACGCACCTGCTCGCGTACGTTACCCACGCTTGAGGATGACCAGTACTCAGTGCTGGACCCATCTCCAGGCCGACTTGGGAGATCTCAGCTCGCTGTCGACTTGGAACGACGGCATGAAGTGGCTGCTTCTAGTTGTCGACGTCTACTCCAAATTCATCATGGTCGCAGCATTGCCCGATAAACGACCTGCATCTGTTGCCGAAGCTATGCGTAAAATGTTCACAAAATGGATTCCGTTTAATTTGCTCACCGACAAGGGCAAGGAGTTCACTACAGGTGCCATGCTACAACTCTACGCAGACCTGAAAATTAACCATTTCACTCTACGCGGCAGCGACCAGAAGGCCCAAGTAGCCGAAGCTCATCTGAAGACGATCAAGTACAAGATTTACCGTTACTTTACGCATAACAATACCCGACGTTGGGTGGATGTCGTGCAACAAATTGCCGAATCGCTGAATAAAACTCGCAGCACCGTGACTGGGATGCGTCCGGTTGACGTGAATTTCGACACAAAAATCCCAAATCAGCAGCCACAGATTGCCGACAGCTCAAAGTTCCAGATTGGTGATACTGTGGTACTTTCTAATCGTCGTGAGACGTTTCAGAAGGGGTTCCGAGGCTTGTGGGGCTCTGAACTATTTGTCGTGCGCCAGATTGACATGCGTGTCCCGGTCACTTATCGTGTCTCCGACTTGAACGGTAAGAAGATTGAAGGAAGATTCTACGACGCTGAGCTGCAGCGAGCCGAGAATTCTGATGGCGTGTACAAGGTTGAGCGGATTATTGACGAAAGACGGCGAAAGGGGAAGCTGGAATACCTGGTCAAATGGCTCGACTACGACGACGAGTTCAACTCTTGGGTGCGAGCTGAAGACGTTATCGACCTGAGAACACATCCTTCTGAATAAACGGATTTTCATTCTTTCCATTCTTTGACCAATGACACGACAGTATACAGAGAGCACGACATCTGCGGATAGCACACAGTCGTTCCGATGTACAGGCCCGTACCGTATGCGAGAAGTACGCGTTTTCACGTCCCTGGCCATTCTGGCTGTGCTTTTGACTCTTTCAATTTTCAGTATCGTGCACGACGTATCGAGAGACCATTCTATTAGTGAGCGGACTTTGACAATCGTGGGCGGTGCACTGTGTCTCGTGGCACCGTCGCCCATCTACCCGGTACGCAAACCCGAAGCTCATTTACTACAAACTGTCTAGATGCACGACGACTCTTTCTACGTTGTATTAGCTAGTAATGCCTCAGACTCTCCGGAGAATACGTCTTCTGTTTTTGTGAATCGCATGCCAAACCACTTGAGACTTTACGATCTGGACGGGCGGCTTAACCGGTGGGAAGTGGGCCTTGCCGAGCTTCAGAGTTGTTATTCGTGGGATACGATACCTGAAGATGAGATCATCAAGGTGAACATGATCAAGTCTCGCGACAATTACACGGTTACACTACGTCGTGGGAACTACAAAGATCCGACAATGCTGGTAGATGCCTTGAATGCCGCGCTTGACCGTTCATCCAGGAAGCGTCGCGCCCTTGGAGACGTGGAGTATGACCCAAATCAAGGCACGTTCAAGCTTGAGAAAGACATGAAGCCGGTGCCTGATGTGAAAAAGCCTGAAGAAGCTCCTCAACCTAAAATCCCCAAAGGTGCAGTGCCTTTGCCTCCTGAGCCTATAGCTCCCTATTCTGGAGCTCCTAAAGGTACCGTGACATTGCCTAAGGAGCACGAGGTGTCAAAGCCTGCTGAGCCCGAGGTGTCAGGGGAGCCCGAGGTGTCAGGGGAGCACGAGGTGTCAGGGGAACATGAAGCCTCAAAACCTGTGGAGGATGAAGCCTCAAAACCTGCTGAGCCCGAGGTGTCAGGGGAGCACGAGGTGTCAAAGCCTGCTGAGGAGGGGAAACATGAAGCCTCAAAACCTGCTGAGCCCGAAGACTCAAAGCCCAAGTTGGAGCTGTACGTACCGCCTCCTCCCGAATTTGTCGCACCCTCGACAGAAGACCGAAAGACTTCATTCTACAGCTTGCAACACAAAGATGACGCGCCGATCAACAATGCGGAAGCGCAGACGTACGTGCTCCCGGAAGCACAAGCGCTCCGTGCAGGTACGTATTCCTTTCCTGCCCCCGAACAATCCGAGAAAACGCGTCAAAGGACGGCTGATCAGAAGTCTGCTCTAGAACAAACTGGCGTCTATTTCCGACATGATCCTGTGTCCGGACGTCTCATCTTAGATCTAAACCGTAACATTGTACATAGCATCGAATTTTCCCAAAAACTAGCCTACACTTGTGGATTCGATCCTGCTCAATTCCTCGAAGGAGGCATCGCAAAGTATCTCCCCGATTTCGGCAATGGCCTCGTCTATTGCTATTCTGATGTCGTAGAGCCGTCTATCGTCGGAGGCAGACTGGTCCCCCTTCTGCGTACCATTGCGGTAGGAGATACTCCCTTTGGGCATGCCTTTTCTCGTGAATTCAACACTGTCCAGTATCGCCGTGTCCATTCAAACGACATCCAGACCATCACCGTCAAGCTGGTCGATGGACAGGGGCGGCCCCTTCGTATAAACTACGGTAACACCATTGTCTGTCTTCATTTCCGTCGTATCTACTAAGCATGACGCACGTTCGCTACTATCTTCCCTTCGACCCTGACGCCCTGGACTGGCTGCCCGTGTTCGAGCAGCAACAGCAACAAGTCGGGGGATCTTCACTCGCCCATTTCCCAATGTTCATGGGCACCCCTTACCAAAGGGGAAGCTCAGTCTGGGGCTCTATCGCTCGTTTTCTATTACCAATTCTAAAGAGGAGTGGAAAAGCAGTCGGCAAGGAGCTGATCACAGCTGCCGGAAAAACGCTCTCTGACATCTCGGCCGGTGTCGACGTCAAGGAGTCGCTGAAGAAGCATGGCAAGGAGTCCGCGGTACGCCTTATCGATCGAGGAGCAGCAGCTGCGAAGAAGAAAATGGGCGGGGGCCAAGCACGTAAAAGGATTCGCCCCGTCGCTGTCGTCATTCCTCAAAAGAGACGCCGCACGACACGTCGCCGCCAATTTCTAAAGCACTAAACCATGCAATCACTATCTGAAGACTCGGAGTTTGCCTATAGCTCCGAACTTAACCTTTTCTCGACTCCCCCAACTTCTATCGGAATCCATCAAATCAGAACACGAATTGTCAATCTCGACTCTGCACTCACTCAGGAAGGTCCCTGGTCGTTCTCGATCGTCAAACAACATCACCCCATCAGCCTTGCCCGGACAACAATTCAGATTGAAGCCCGGGTAACGGATTTAGACAACGGCGTCGGGATCGAGGTAGCAGAACCGGTCAACGGAGTTGTACAAGCACAGCCACGGCGCGCTGCGCCAGTCAACTGGCTTGCCAAGGCCCTCTTCCGTAACATTGTGCTGAGCCTGAACGGTATCCCTGTCGTCGAGACTGGTAACCTGAATCCCTACCGTCAATTCTTCATCAACGAATTCTGCCGTGAGAAAGACTCGAAGGAATTTGTTCTCGGAAAAGCTGCCGGATACAGTGCCAAAGACAACGGTACCGAATCAAAAACAAATCCGGGGTACCTGGAGCGAGTCGAATGGGTTAAGGACGGGAAAACTCTGCAGCTGATCACAGGGCTTGATCTGGGCCTTGAAGCCTCCAATCGACTGCTTCTCAACGGGATGGACATTTCGCTTCAACTTTTCAAGTCGCCGGACAACTTTATCTTTGTCGACTTTGACGAGCCCGGTGAGAGGTGGAGGCTGGAAATTAAATCCATGCAGCTGCGATTAGCAGAAGCCGTCTGCTTTGATCAGACCATTTCTGCCATAAATCGTATGCTTGCTAGCGGGAAGCTGGCTACCTATCCATACAGGCAGATGGTCACGAAAAGCTTCTTTGTCAACACAGGGACCCAGCTAACCCAGGAATACGTGTGTTTTTCGGGAAATCAGGTTCCTAGACGCATTTTTGTGGGTATCGTTAATGCCTCTGCGTTGACCGGAGACTACGGAAAAGATCCGTTCCGCTTCCACCACTTTGGCTTGAGAAACATCTACGTGGACTTTTGCGGGATTACCGTGCCCATGCGACCATACAATCTCGACCATACCTCGGGGCAATTCCTTCAAGCTTATCATCAGATGAACGAGAGCCTCGGATTCCATGCCAGTGGACGCACTAATGGTATCTCGCCGGAAATGTACAGCAACAGCCGCGCCGTCTACTGCATCGATTTGCTGCCTTCGAGTCTCGACAGTACCGAATCCGAGTTCCAGCTTGCTCTCCGCGGATCATGTGGGCTCCGCCTTGAATTCCATCGTGCGCTTACGGAAGCCGTACAAGTAGTCGTCGCCGGAGAATTCAACGGACTCCTCACTATTGACGCTCAACGCCAGATTTCAGTTCTCCCGATTTGATGGACAATTCCCAAATTGACCGCTTGTTGTTTTCTCATCCTGTGTCTCGTCGCTATTTCCTAGGTACTTTTGCGGCTGACCGGCTTCCCACTCCTCCTCCTCATTTTCCCTTTACCCTTGTTGCAAATTTGAGTCGAGCTGCTGATCCTTCCGGTGGCACTCACTGGGTTGCTATGCTAGGAGACAGAGCTCGGCGTATTTGGTATTTCGACAGTAGCGGTGCTCCGCCGCCCGCTGAAGGCCCTATTTCCGTGTGGATAAACAAATTTGCAAAACAGTTGTTTTATAATCCGTATCCACACCAATCGATTTTTACACGCACATGTGGGGGATTTACAGTTTGGTTTGTTATGGAGATCAGTCGCGGAATTCCATTTTCAGATTTGCTCACACAGTTAGAGAACATAGAGGAAGATGATCGATATATCGTCTGGTATCTAGCCCGAGAATTTGGCTATAAATTGGATCTGTACTGACCTGGAGCTCATTCTAACAAACTCGACAATTTACGCTCAACGATGAATTCCCAGCCTTCTACCGTACCCTCTGCTACCCCGGCTACCGTACCCCCTGCCGCATCTCTGCCTGCGAATACCCATTTCGATCTGGTCAAAGATTTGCCCGCTGTTTTGAACGACAACGTCTTGGATGGATTTTACATGCCAAAATACGATGCAGGACATCTAAGCGCACGAAGTATTGACCCCAAGAACCTGCCCGAACTAATTTCGCAAGGACGAGTTTACACTGCAAATCCGGGCGCTGATGGACTATTTTCCTGGTGGAAACCCGAAGAAATGATTCCGCTGTCATGGCTACTGCTCTCGGCTATGGACGCGGAATCCAAGGCCAAGTCTGAAGCTCAGAAGCCCCCCGTTCTTGAAGAAACCGGAGCCACTCCTGGCGAGCCTTTGAAACGTGGACGTGGACGCCCTCGCAAGCATCCGTATCCAGTCAAGGACCCTGCGGCTCCGAAACGTGGACGTGGACGCCCAAAGATTACCCTGAAAAATCCACTTATGCATATCATTCCTAACACGAAGCCTCCCAAACTGCACTTCTGGGGCAAATTCAACCAGCCTACTGACGGTACGCCACTCGACACTGCAAAGGTCCTCGACTTCTTGGACACATCTGCCCGGGGCACTCCTGAAGAGCCGAAACCAAAGGTAAACTGCTATCGCAAAACATTCGTTAATTCAAGGCATTTAGGCAAATCTTCGCCCGTGGTTTCAACTCACTGTTCTGCATGACGCTGATTGCAATCTTTTCCTGGTACGCAACAAGCCGGCTGCTACCGTCGTCTTCCCATCTCGAAAACTGAAGACAAACGCAACTCCCTCTACTCGCTAAAAGTGTATTGTTTTTTCTTTCTCGCTGAACTGTGTGAATTCTGATCTGTCCCTTCTCTAACATAACCTCTTTACTTTTCTATCTCATTAATGTGTAAACAATCTTTTGTGACTCTC